TTAGACCCGGATTATGCACCACTCCTTCCCACCCATGCCAAAGCCCTCTTCCCCGGAGCACCCAGTCAGTAGGTACAGCATAGTCAGTGCAGCGTCTCTGGTTCTGTTAAATATGAAGCTCAGGTTAGTTTACAGTACCCCCAGATTTTCACTGGGCTGCAGATGTAAACCCAGAGCTGCTTTGTAGAAGGTTGTCAGAGGGAATCTGGAGAATTTGGTTAGGGCTTTTGGTAGCCATGATGGCACAGAAGTTGGTTTTGGTTTCGCAATCGTGCATTTCTTGGTTGCGATCTTCAGAGATTTTCAGTAACTTAAATTCTCTTTATAGTGTTAAAACACAAATGATCCTTCACTTCTAACCCTGTTTCTAGACCTATTCTCAAAGCTCCTGTTTACAGAATTGGTGGTGGTTCCCATAAAACTCCTTCTTTTAGGCTTGTGCTGGTGGATGCTACAGTAGAGCAAAGCAGAAAGGATGCTTGGGGAAGACCTGCAGCTGTTTACCTCTCCCAGGAAAGCTTGGGTTAGCAGGATTGGGTGTGTCTGAGAATTCCTTACATTGTGGATAGGGAACACGGTGGTCTTTGCATCTCCAGGATGTAAGGGGAAGAGCACCTATGTCCCTATGTAGAATGTGAGGTTCCTACTCCACAGCGTCACGTGTGACTAGACTAGGGTTTTCCAAGTGCTTGTATGCCTGTCCGATGGAAGGGGTTTTGGGGGCAAGACGTTCCTGCTGAAGCTCCGTAACACCGAAGGGGTGGACGGTGACTATGCCTCATTCTTGGGCTCTCCTGATCCTTATTCCTTTGTTCCTATGTTGCTACTGGCAGTCCCTTCCTGGAAGAGCTGATCAAAGAAGGGTGTTAGAATAGTGCTGGCTTCACCCCTTCTCCTCAGGGAAGAACGTGCAGCTAGGCTTGCCCCCTGCGTCAGCCCCACAAGCTCAGATACTGGGGTGCTAAGCACAGTGGGTCGTACCCAGGAGGGGCTCCCAAATTGCTCTAGGGGTGGGCGAAGACTTACGGGTCCTGCCGCCCGCCCGTCTTCATTCAGTCAGCGCGGCTTCATTTCAGCAGCGGGGGGCTGATGGGGAGAAGTCAGACTGGATTCCCTTTACCTACTAGAATGTGCCCACGGTCCAGGTGGCTGCATCGGGGCGGGGAAGTGTCTTTCACTTTGAGAGACTCTGGAGCCCCTTGTTCAGCAGGGCCCCGGCCTGACCCCCAGCTGCAGTGGCAAAAACATCGTGTGGGAGGAGGAATCATTCCCACGCAGCCAGGCAGAGGCTGTGAGCTAGGGAGCTGCTGTAAAAGCAAGGCTCCAGCTTGAATCCTTGCAGTATCACTGTCCCCAGGAGGAAACACCCGAGCATTGGCTAGATGAATTTTTACTACTCTATATGTAATATTCCTCACTATTGGGAGAACACATGCTGTCTGGCACGGCTGTGTGATGGAGGGGAGCAGGCATCACGTTGTGCTTTTAATGATCTGGGAATAAAGAGTGCTATTTTCGTTCCATTCTTTCCCAGCCTTGCCAGAATCCCTGAATGATTTGTGGGGAGGGGGTTCCGGTCCTTCCTGCGGTCCCAAGTATCTTCAGCCTGCAGTAATGCCCTGTCACTGGTTATGTTGCAGGGTGCTGGAGCTGAAGCGCCTACTGTCCAATCGGTCTCCGGCTCCTGCACTGGCGTGGGTGAGGCCAGAGTTCTGCGAACCAGGAGAAGTGCTCGCTTCAGGAAGAGGAGGCGGCGGATGTGAGAGAAGCATGGGGAGAAATGTGTTAGTAACTCTGCCTTGAAGCCGTTATTTCTCACTTGAGAGAGACCTTGTGAGGCACAGCTTAGAAATAGCCGGGGAATCGTGACTCCAGGCCTATAGCAATGGTTTGAAACAGGCCTCTCTCGCCTTCCCTGTGGGCATGCAGGTCTGAACTCACTTGTTTAGCCGTGAGCAGTAAAGACCATAATTACAAGGCATGCTACATTTATACAGTGCTCTTTGTCAGGGTTCCCTCCCCACTCTGAACTCTGGGGTACAGATGTGGGGACCTGCATGAAAGTCCCACTAAACTTATATTCCACCAGCTTAGGTTAAAAACTTCCCCAAGGCTCAAATTCCTTTCCTTGTCCTTGGACGGTATTACTGCCACCACTAAGTGATTTAACAAACATTCAGGGAGGGGCCACTTGGAGCCCTACCCCCCCCCCCCCATAACCCCCAAGCTCCTTCATACCCTTGGGTTTTTAGGACACTAAAAACCAAACCCGAACTTAAAAGAAGAGCTTTATTATAAAGAAAAAAGTAAAAGAAGCACCTCTGTAAAATCAGGATGGAAGGTAATTTTACAGGGTAATAAAAAGATTTAAAACACACAGGATTGTCCCCTAGGCTCAACTTCAAAGTGACAAAACAGGAATAGTATCAGAGGGGTAGCCGTGTTAGTCTGGATCTGTAAAAGGAGCAAAGAGTCCTGGGGCACCTTATAGACTAACAGACGTATTGGAGCATGAGCTTTCGTGGGTGAATACATGCATCCGACAAGGTGGGTATTCACCCACGAAAGCTCATGCTCCAATACGTCTGTTAGTCTTGCCACAGGACTCTTTGCTGCTAAAACAGGAATAAACCTCCCTCTTAGCATAGGGAAAATTCACAAGCTAAAACAAAAGATAATCTAATGCATTTCCTTGCTGTTACTTACAATTTCTGTAATTTTAGATGTATCATTTCGGTAGGAGCTGGGTTACCTGCTTGGTCTCTCTCTTTGTTCCAAGAGGGAACAAAAACAAAGAGCACAAACAAAACCTCTTCTCCTCCCCTCCTCCCCAAGATTTGAAAGTATCTTCTTTCCCCCATTGATCCTTCTGGTCAGGTGCCAACTAGTTTAATTGAACTGATTAACCCCTTACAGGTAAGTGATTCTGTACCTCTGGCCAGGAGGGATTTGATGTTACTGCATACATAAAGGTTGTTACCCTTCCCTTTATATTTATGACAGCTTCAGAGACAAAGGCCCACTGTCATATGGACTCAACAGCCCAGAGTCCTTGCAGTCAGTGGTGAGAATTGGTTGTAAGGTATTGCAACTGATAGTGAGAGTTTTGCACGATTGGTTGCTAAGATAAGACCAGTTTAAACAAAAACAAAACAGAGGATGACAGTTTAGGTAAAGAGGAGTGAGCTCTTGGGGAGAGGAATGTTTGAAGGATGTATTTAAAGCTATTGGCTCCTGCTGCAGAGCCTAAACATTGTCCCAGTGTCTTCTCTACACCTTGGCTGCCATGTGCCCCTTGCTGACAGCCTTAGCAGAGTTCTGGTGATGGGGGTTCACTTGGGCTGCTTTGTCTGCAACAGTGGAGCAAAGATACTGAAGGTCCTACACTAGCAATGGCAGCTGTTGTCGATTTTTAAATTCTCAGTGGCCAGAGTGGTGGACTTTTAAATAGAGTGCAGAAGATGGTCTCCATCAGGCAGTGCTTTTAACGTGAGTAAGATCACCCACAAGCCACAGCTGGGCAAAAGGAGTGTTTAATTCTTAGAGGGCCTGGGGAGTTGGATGCTTTTCGTGTCTCTACCATAGACTCTCTGCAGGGCAAGCGGTTTCCTTGCCTGTATTCACAGGGCTAACACCATACTGCACAGGTGTGCTGTGGTCTGATCAACGTAAAAAACATCAACAGCTTTTGGTTGACAGGTACCAAATAAGTGCAAAGATTTTTTTGCCTTGATATCCCTCCTCAGTTCATGGAGTTGTTCTCATTTATTTTTGATTCTTTTCTTAAATGACTTTAGAAACTCTGTCCTGTGATTAATGAGAGGTGAATGTATCCTTATTACAGGAGTCTCTGAATGAAGCTTGCTTTCAGACGTGGCAGTACCAGCTGTTCCTTGCACTACCGACCAGTGACGCGTCAAATAAACTGACTCCGCAGTTCTGGGGAAGAGAAGAAAATGGTTGCACTGTTTTTCCCAACACTTAGCCAAGTCTGTATATTACTACAGTTCTCGTTTAAAACCACTAATTGGGAAAGTGAGAGACAGAAGTCTTTCTTTTTTTCTTCTTCTTCTTGACACAGACTGATTCTGTTCTAACACACTTACAGTCTGGCAGCAGCATGGACAAAGGTGGGAGAAGACTATTGGAGACAGGCGTTAAAAATGAATGCTTGTTTGTTTTTTGTGTTGGAGCCTATTTATATAAATGTCTGTCCCCAGTTCAGAACATGAGTCTCAGTCTGTGTTTTTTAATGCTGTGGCAATGCTTGTGGTTGACAATTAACTGGTTCTGAGGTGACAACACTGTTGAATGATCAGTGGATTTATTTTGTATCTGAATGATTCTGACTGTTTGATTAAATGTAAATGTTATATTTTTCTCATTTGCAAAGATTTAGGCATGTTCTTTCTGGCCCCACAAACAGGAGAGGTTTCATTTGAATATGCTTTCCTGTAAGTGTTTGGTCTTTGACAACAAGAAAGGTGATGATTGTTTCCTCACATAGAACCCAGGAGGGAGTGGGAATCAGCTGATCTTGTGGTTAAGACACAGGACTTGGTTACACAGGATCTCCTTCCTGGCTCTGCCGCAGATTACAGTGCAGCCTTGGGCATGTCACTCTGTCTCTAGTTCCTCATCAGCAAAGTAGGGATTTTTGTCCCCCGGGAGTGCTAAGGCTAAATGAATGAAAGCTGGTAAAGTCTGAGTTCCATGGATGAAAGACACTGGGGAAGGGCAGAGGCTGTGGAGTGGCTCTAATTTCCCAGGAGCACGGCAGTGATTTCAGGCTGTAGTGATGCTATGAAGCAAACTCGCCGGCAATGCTTTGTCCCACCCTATGCTTGTGTGGTGCTTTCCAGGGTCGCTAAGTCCCAGTAGGCCAAGGTGCTATTCAAATGTTAAGCCTGTATCGTGCCCAGAGAAGGGAATTTCAGGCGAGTTTCCCCCTCCCAAAGTGTGTGCGAGCCGCCACCCTCCTGCATGAAATTCACCCCAGGGCACAAGCTTTGCCATGAAACCATGTGCAGCACTTGAGACACAGCTGTTAACATGAGGCTTAAGTGGGGTGTAGGACCTTCTGCCCTGGAGTCAATGTGCCTTTGTGAATGCCACGTAGGTAATGACACCTGCTGGGCTGACTAGCCAGGCTGCCACTGTGCGGCACCTGATCTCAATCTTTGGTGATTTGAACCTAACATCAAAGAGAACTTTGAGAATTATCAGACACAAACATGATTTGTTGGGGAAAAGTCACCATGGCTTTTGTAAAGGGAAGTCATGCCTCACCAAGCTATTAGAATTATTTGAGGATGTCAACAATCCTATGAATAAGGGTGACCAAGCTGATATAGAGTACTTGGATTTTTAGAAAGCCTTTGAGAAGGTCCCTTAGCAAGGGCTCTTGAGGAAACTAAGCAGTCATGGGATAACAGGGAAGGTCCTGTTTAAAAGTTACAGTGAGGTAGAAAAGTTTGCAGATGATACAAAATTATTCAAGATAGTTAAGTCCAAAGCTGACGATGAAGAGTTACGGGAGATCTCAAAAAACTGGGTGTAGTCTGCGCCCGCTCACTTCTAAAGGCCCCTCCCCCAGTTTCTGGTGGTCATCTCTGGTGATGGGGTCTAATTGTAATGCCTCCTATTACAAGCAAGCTAGAACTAAGGTATGGAGCATGGGGGGAGAATAGAAATAAGGACCATACTATAGAGCATCCCTATAATTCAAGGACCTGGGATGCCCACACCTTTGGTCTAGGTGGTACTCGACCAGATGGAGGGGTGGGAGAATTGGACTGATTCTGGAAGCTGTCCTCAGGCTCTATTGCAGAGACGGTATATGCATAGTGTGCACAGGTTCCATCCTGTGTGCTGGCACCAAAAGGGGGCTTGTCAGGGAGGTCTCTCCAGTGGTTTGGCTTTAAAAGTAACCCCCTTCCCCTACTGTGCTACAACCATGCCCAACACCTGGATTCTGTTGTAATGGAGATTGGAGAGGACAAGAGTGGAATTCCCAAAACCATTTTATAGAAAGAGCCAGAAACTTAATTAGTAAATGAAGAAAACTTAAGCTACAGCTCAGCCCTGAGCATCAGTCATGCTAGCGAGTCCTTTACCTATCTGTATCTATTACACAGCTGAAGAAATGATCAATAAGCAAACTTCCACCTAGAAACCAAGTGAAGTCATCCGAAACTATCACAGCCCTCGCTTGTCTGAAGTTGAGCCTCTATCTTCGGTGGTTATAACAAATTAGAGTTTATATATCTTCTGCCTCAAACACTTCGATACCATTTCCTTCAAAAAACCAAAAATCACTGCCAGCCGACACCTGCAGACCCAATGCTCCTGAGCAACCTCTTCCCATTATTTGTCAAGAAAACATGGAAACAGAGGCAGGTTTTTATACTTTAATGTGGCACTGACGTACTGTCATGATGACAGGCCCCACAAGGTGGATAGGCGTATCACTTAGCACATTGCTTTCAGACGGGTTTTTAAATGAAAGCATTAGTTCTGTTTATCATCTCCACCCCTCCGCTCCCTGAAGACCCCTGTCCTATAACATTGGACCTAGAAAGTTGAGAACCTACTTCAGAAGCTGTCGTTTTCCCACCTGGCTGTTGTGCAAGTTTCTTACTGAAGAGATTGGCCATTCTAGACAGTGCGTGTGCACTCCTGTAATACTTCTCATCAGTGAAACTTTATAACCATTAAATAAAGAAGCCTCAACTGCTTCTCCGAGTTATTACGTGGTACAGATGGGGACATTGAGGCACAGAGAGATTAAGTTATTCAACAAGTCAATGGGGATGTGAGGTGCTTCCAGACACTAGTTTGTCTGTTTTTTTCCCCCTTGTGGCTTCCTCTTTTGTTTTCCTTTGTCTTGGATAAGCGCTGTAACCCACTGGTTTCCCCTTTCTTCTTTCTAGTTTTTACTCTTGAGTCATCTGAATTGCAGACAGACTATTTAGGGAGCTTGCCATGCGGCTGGGTTTGCTGGGAGATGGGACAAAGAGTATTGCCATGCTGAGCCAGTGAGAGAAGGAGCCGAGGAGAGCCCGTGAGAGGAGGAAACACTTGATGCGCAGAGCCAGGTCGGTCCATGTAACACAGAGCGACTAGTCATTATGGAAGTCTGGATCCAATTTTTGTCTAGAGGGAAGGGTGGGGGGTGTATTGACTGGGCAAGACATTTCTACTTCTCTTACCCGGCTGGGAACTGGGACTGGCTCCGCTAGTGGGCAGAGCAGTTTGTGTGCTGGGGTAGCAGAATGTTTAGGGATGGGTCAGGCAGGCTGCTGAAGTCAATCCCACTGGCTTTACCTAGTGTCGATCACTGTAGTATCTATGCATTGAAGTCAGTGGGAGTTTTGTCTGTGGGGGAACAGAGTAAGGCTTGTAGGATTTGGCCTGTTAGGAACCGAGAGAGGGAGCTAGATATACCCCAGGCTCTACAGAGCTGCTGCTGTCAGGAATGATGCAGTTTTTCCCCCCCAAACAAGTGAAACACTCCTGGATTTGTAGGTGGCTGGCAACCCCTCTGGGCCATTGGCTACTGCAACAAATCCTGTTCTGATATGAGCACTGCAATCAAATGCCTGGGTCAGAACCTAGGCACCCATTTTGGTGCAGCATTTGGCCCCAAATGGGCAAAACAAGGAATGGAGATAAGAGGAAATGTGTTAGCGGTTCGTTACAGACAAAGCCATCGTTAAGTCAGAGAGGTCTCGGCGAAGCGTCAGGTTATTTCATGTTGTTTTTCTCTAAGCAGGGGAAGAGTGAACCTGGCCCAAGCGTGCATTCCTTGTATCAAAATGTGAGTCGCTAATCAAGGATAATGCAGATCTAACTGTAGGCTACAACTTCTGTAATGTGGCTTCTGCATCTTCTGTAATGTCAGCAGTCCCTGAATGGCTTCCTGATTTCCTCGAATCGGCATATGGCCTGGTTGAGCTGACACTAGAAAATTCCAGTTTGGTTTCATTTTGGTTTGTGGGTGTATGGGAAAGAGTGCACTGGGGAGGAAGCATTGTGGGAAAGAAACCTCAAAGTGCAGCTGCTGCTGAGGGTGGATGCCGAGAAGTTCCCTGCAAAAGTGACACGCAGGAGGCTCTCTGCAGTGACACAACGCTCTCAGTTGACCACATCAAGCAGTGATGTTTCAAAGCAACGTGCGTGTAACCATTGCTAGGGTTACCCAAAGCTTGTGACTTGCACATGCAATGGGGCCGGCACTGCATGTGGTTTGCAATGTTGCAAGATCATGTAAAATTGTGGGTTTTGCACATTCTCTTCCTTTGCAAATGCAAATTAGACATTATTAAAAATATTAGCTCTTGGTGGTTACAATTAACTGCAATTTAAGAGCATAGATGTTGGGGGTTCTTCCCCCTGGAACCTTTCAAACGGGTTCACTCTAATGTTTGAATACGTGTCTATCCCTGTTGCCCGAGGGGCTGTACAGCACTCTTGGATCTCTAGTTTCAAGCAGGTAATAGCTGTCTGTTGTGTGATGGTTCCTTGTTTATGCTCTACCCTTGCACTTGTGGGTCACTAGATTAGGTTTGGGCCCTGAGCACATGTGACCCCTGTTAATGTCCGTGGGACATGTAGATTCTCCCTTGGTGCAGCCTGTTGGGAATCCATATGCAATTTGAGTTCCTGGTGTCCCCAGCATCCATGCAGGAGCTTTCGGTCTTCAATGCTACTGACCCAGGATGCACACTAAGTGGTTTCACTTCCCTCCTCTAATGACTCAGGAAATGGCTGGTTGAGGGGCGCTCACCAGAATTTCATCACCTCTTCAGCAGTGGTGCCAACCCTGCCAGCTGTTGAGGGAGCTTGGGACGTAGTGCCCCAGTCCTACATTTGCTTGCACAAGCTGGCATTTCTGTACATGAGGTGCACCGTGACCCGATCCGCTGGTGCAATGGGGGTGGGGGGGTGCATGTATTTTGTGCGTACAGAGTTAGAGGCTGCAGTGGGAGACATGGTCCCTTATGGTCAATGAGCGTGTTCCCAGTCTCGTTGGGTTGATAGTGTTGGGCCACCTGCTATCCTTGCTGCTCATCCCGAGCTGCTCTGAGGCTTGTGGTGTGGCTTTCAGACAAGAAGACCTGGCCTGCCAGTATTTCTTGCTCTCCGCCATGTCGGAGCAGGAAGATGACGAGATGTGCTGGAATAACTTGGAGAACTTCCGGGTGAAGCTGATCTCGGTGATAGACCCCTCCAGAATAACGCCTTATCTCCGCCAATGCAAAGTGATTAACCATGACGACGAAGAGCAAGTGCTTAACGACCCCAATCTGGTAGTCCGGAAACGGAAAGTAGGTGGGTACTGGGCAGCTTCCGACTCGCCACATGTGGGGGGGGAGGGCCTGGCTCTGGGGTGATACACTGGAATGAAAATGCCGAGGTGTCAATTGCTCCTGTAGGCCACATGGTGTTACCATCAACCCATGTAGTGCAGTTCTGGGAATCATGCTTTCAAGGTGCGTCTTTTCCCAGCCATTTGAAGATGGTTTTCTCTAAATCCAAATAAACAGTAAATAATTCCTTCTCCTTGAGCTAACGTGAATTCTCCGTCACTGGCAATTTTAAAATCAAGATTGGATTTTATTTAGTGATTTATTTTAAGATATGCTCCAGTTTGGCGTAGGCAACCTATGGCACGCGTGCCGAAGGCGGCACGCGAGCTGATTTTCAGTGGCACTCTCACTGCCCGGGTCCTGGCCAATGGTCCGGGGGGCTCTGCATTTTAATTTAATTTTAAATGAAGTTTCTTAAACATTTTAAAAACCTTATTTACATACAACAATAGTTTAGTTATATATTATAGACTTATAGAAAGAGACCTTCTAAAAACGTTAAGATGTATTACTGGCACGTGAAACCTTAAATGAGAGTGAATAAATGAAGACTCGGCACAGCACTTCTGAAAGGTTGCCGACTCCTGGAATTATTTCTGAGACGTTTTCTGGCCTGTTGTTATATATGAGGACAGACTAGGGGATCACAGCAGTCCCTACAGGCCTTAAAAAGCTCTGAATCTAGGATAAACTATTTCTGTGCCTCAGGTTCAGAGGGACTCTGGCAACATTAGAAAGAAAAATTAGCCTGTATTACTAGGAGTCCCTGGGGTTATTCAATCTGAGACCATTAAAAATCAAAGGTACTTTTCACCATCTATTCTATTTTACAATATTAACCCCTAGCTCTTTTGTGACAGTTTTCATCAGTAGACCTCAGTGCTCTACAACAGAGGCCAGTATTGTTACCCCCATTTTACAAATGGGGAAACTGAGGCACAGAAAGGGGAAGTGACTTGCCCAGGGTTACCCAGCAGGTCAGAGATGGGAACAGAACCCAGGGCTCTGGAGTCTGACCAGTGCCTTAGTCTCTAGGCCACGCTGCGTCACTGTTAGTTGTTTATAGTGTAGTAGCCTCCAGAGGTCTGAATTAGGATTGAGATCCCGTTGTACTTGGTTCTGCGCAGACACCGCTCCTTCCCAAAGAGTTTACAGTCTCAGACAGCGTGGGCTGTGAAACAAAGCCGTTTACTTTCCCTTGCTTAGTGAGTTACACTTTCCAGTTCTCCTTTGCCACCATCGCAAGGAACTGAGACTGGAAAGGCTTATTGTGGACCTCCCTTGCCTTCGTCCCGCTGAGTGTAGGATTCTTCTCTACGGGATATTGACTAGCGCACACTCTGCTGTTTGGGTTTCCAGCATGGCAGGGAGTGTTTAACCTCAGAATGACACCATGAGAAAGACCTGCCTGTGAAAGCATCTCTGGTCCTATTAGACTTCATAATTCCAACTTTAAAAACTGGTGACAGACTCCCTGCTTCTCTTGCTCTCGCTGTGACCCCACTTGTAGCAGGAGACGGAGACTGCGGTCCTGCTGACCTCGAGAGCAGAGCAGAGGCTCCAGCACTTCATGGCAGATACTTTGCCCCTTGCAGGATCAGGAGATCTGTGCCAGAAGTGGGGCCCATCTAACCATCCCCTCTTCTTGAATTTGAGACCAAAGCCGCCCAGAGTTATAGGAACTGCCGTGGCCGTTTCATTCAAGCCTGCCTGCTCTCCTCCTCGCCTTCAGCAAGGCATTGCTTCTCTTGCAGTGCCTGCTGTTTGCAACACGATAGTAGGAGCAGAGGCCTAGGGGCAAACCCTGCAGCCGTTGCTCAGTTAAATCGCCAGTGAGAGAGTTGCCTGGGCCAGGCCTGAAGGGTTTGACACCAAGGACTCTCTTCTGCTCTTGCTTACAGAGGAACGCAAGTACCAGCCATCTCTGGAAGTGCAGGGAACGTGTGTTACTCTGACATGCCATGTTGCAGTACGCGCCTTTGTTTCTGTATTGCAGGCGTCCTCCTGGATATACTTCAGAGGACGGGCCAGAAAGGTTTTGAGGCCTTTCTCGAGAGCCTTGAGCTTTACTACCCACAGTTATATATGAAAATAACCGGCAAGGAGCCCAGCAGGGTCTTTTCGATGATTATCGGTAACGTTTTGATTCATTCCCACAACAGTCTCTCTATTTGATGCTGCTTTGCAGCTAGAGGAGACCTCGAATTCCACGGTTAAATCCCCGGTGGCTCGTGTGGGCAGAGCCCCAGCCAACCAGCCGTTCAGACTAGGTCACTGGCTTGAAAGCTCTTCAGCGAGGGTCCGATCCTGCAGTCGGATCCCTGCGGGGAGAGCTCTGCGGAACCCGCCCAGATCCGATTGTAGGTTGGAGACTAAACACACAATGCTGTGTTAGGCACTACATCGCCACCCTCTCCTGGGGAACGCCAGTGCTGCTCCCTGTATCCAAAGGAAGAGCGGGTGCTAGATAATGGCCCGGTTTCCCCTCATGGACTGCTCCGCCATGGTGCAAGCAGACCGAATTCCCCGTGAAATCACCAGCAGGTGCCCCCACTGAACATGGGTCCCAGAGTGGCTGAGGCCTGAGACGCTGTTCTGGAGCACTTGGCATGTCCACGGTACAGGGCAAGGTGGGTCGTTGCTCCTTCCGGCTCTGGCCAGCTGTATGTTCCTGTCAGCATGACTGTACCGGGTGTGATCGTGCTGGCTGGGGGGCCGGCTCGGGAGGCCGGGGGAAGAAAAGCTGCTGTGGCGCTGACTACACGCGCCATTGGCTAGACAGCACCCGCAGGGAAGTCTTGTGATGCTGACTTGTGATAAGGGACCTCTCTGCCTGGGGCTAGGGACTTGGGCTGGGCCCGCCTGAGGGGCCGGGGACTATGTTGTGTGAGTCTCTCTGTTGCGCAGACACCGCGGGGGAATCGGGGCTGAGCCAGCTCCTGATGAACGAGATCACGAAGCTGCAGAGCGCCGTGCAGGAGGAGAGGAGGAAGGCCCAGGAGCTCAACATGTGGCTCCATGCCAAGGAGGACGCGCTCAAGGAGATGCGGGTGAGGGACAGCGTGCTGCGGAAGCACCAGGAGAGGGCCCAGAAGATGAAGGAGGAGAGGGACAACTTGGCCAAGGAGCTGCGGAAATGCAAGGATGAGAACTACGACCTGGCCATGAGCTATGCCAAGCAGAGCGAAGAGAAGAACGCAGCCCTGATGAAGAACCGGGATCTGCAGCTAGAGGTCAGTGCCTCACCCTCTCTCCTTCCTCCCTCGTGCACCCCCGGGATTGGAGAGCTGAGCACAGTCGGGCCTTAGCGACCGGACACCACAGTCCAACGGGTGCCTCTCTTCTGCACCAGGTGCCGGGAGTCCTGAATTCGCTGGGCTGGGCTAGTGCCTTCAAGGTACCATGTGCTGTTGGCAGAGAGGGCTCTGCTACATTCCCCCGGGGGTGGGGAAGGCATTCCCCTCGTGCTTCTTGCTGGAGGATGGGACTAAAACCATGCCACTACAAAGATTTCCCCCTCACCGGCCGGCACTCCCCACGTGGCTCCTGGCGAGGCCTGACCAGCTCCAAACTCCCCCTCCCGCTGCAGATTGACCATCTGAGGCACAGCCTGATGAAGGCCGAGGACGACTGTACACTGGAGAGGAAGCACACGATGAAACTGAAGCACGCCATTGAGAAGCGGCCGAGCCACGAAGTGGTGTGGGAGATCCAGCGGGAGAAGGAGCTGCTGCTGGCCAAGAATCAAGAGCTGGAGAACACTCTCCAGGTCTGTGGGGAGGGCGGGCGTTGGGACTCTGGGACTGGTTGGGGTAGCAGCTCTGCCTCACTAACGCAGGCTTCTCCACGGGGGTTGGTGTCAGGGCCCCTCTTGGTGAGGCCGGGGAGCTTGGCGGGGTGAGAGCCGTGGGTTAGAGCAGAGCATGCTCATGGGTGCTTTGTGGCAGAGGGACCCCCTGAGCAGTGGTGGTGGGATATATGGGGTGTGTGAAGGCTGACAGCAGCTAGATGGGCTCGGAGGGCAACGGGAGAGGTGTGAGCAGCCATGGTGGCAGAGGAGTACAGCATTAGCGAGAACAGCTAGGCCTGAGGCTCAGAAGGGTTTAAATTAAGGGCCCCAGACTTGCCCAACTCATTCTACACCTTCCCCTGAACTGGCGGCCGTGACAGCAGGATGCGGGGCTGGACGGGGGCGCTGATCTTGCCTGGCAATTCCGGTGTGCTGCAGGGCTGCACGGGAGCCTGCAGATCACACCTGCCTGTCAGGAAATGGAGCAGCGCGCAGCTGCCTTCATCTTTAACATGGAGGGCACAGCAGCCTGTGGCGAGCACAGGTCCTGGCATGTGATGCCCTGTCTTGCTCAGAGCAGCACCTACTGGGACTCTTTCTCCAGGCGACTCCCCTCCATCTCACAGATGAGGACAGCCCGGTGCTGCATTGGAGAGCATGTCGCTCACCTCCACTTTAACCCAGAGGCAGAGTGGAGGCCATGGGGGTGGTGGAAGGGGAGTGAGAATTGGCCACTAGTGCTGTTAGGCTCGGGTAGGGGAGAGTGCCTCCTGGCTTTCCTAGCCAGTTGGGCCACCCCTCGTTGTATTCCCCTTCCCCCTGGAGGTTGCCAAGGAAGGGAACTTTGAGAAGAACAGCCTCTACATCCAGGCTCTGGAGGCTGATCGGAGACGGGCCCTGGGGGAGCATCAGGAGCTGGTGAACACCACCTACAGCCTGCGCAAGGCGCTCCAGCAAGCAGAGGATCTCCAGGACAAAGTACGAAGTCTGGCGGGAGGGGGGAGAGATGGAGTAAACTCAGCATGGGGAACATGTGTCCAATGAAAGCCACTCTCTTCCCTGTGGAGCAGAGCAGTGCAGCGCCCGGGCAGCTAGCACTGCGGCTTGGCCTTCTGGCTCAGATCAAAGGTAGCAGCAGTTTAATGAGAAACGTGATCTGAGATGGGTACTCCTCTGCTCTGGTACTGACTCCCTGTCCTTGGGAAAGACGTGGCCTCTCCCTGCTTCACGTGTAAGATGGGGATGATGACGCTGATCCACCTGGATCGCCAGGAGAACTGATCAGTTACTGTTTGCAAAGTGCTTACATCGGCCCCACATCTCCTTTGCCTTCCAAGCACTTTCCCACCTGTAGACCTCAATGTGCTTTCTCAGTAGGAGTAAGCATCATCCCCGGGGGAACTGAGGCACCGAGAGGCCATATGACTTGTCCAAGATCATATGGTAAGTCTCCTTGCCCTCAGACTCGCCCTCCATCCACTCAATCATTGGTGTAATTGGCATTGGGCTTGGTCAACTGTAGAAGAGTCTCCTTGCTTTGGCACGGCTCAGCAATCCGTGTCGGATATTTACACTACAAGCCACGGGTGTTTCAAGAGTGAAGCAAGCCCCTTGGCCTCCAGCACTGGGTGTCTCGGTCAAGCGAGCCCCATGAGCAGGGCGCTTCTGTGCTTTGCTTGCAGCACGCGGAGGAGAAGGAGGTGCTGGAGCTGCAGTGCATGTCCCTGAGGAAGGACTCCCGGATGTACAAGGATCGCATCGAGGCCATCTTGAAGCAGATAGAAGAAGTGGCTGCAGAAAGAGACCAGGTGATAAAACTTCCTGTTTGGAGCCCAGCTACCAAAGATAATGGGAAGTGTAGGCTCAGACACCATGTCAGTGACACGCTTTGCCCTCCCGCTTTCTGCATCAGGCGCTGCTGACCCGAGAGCAGTTCCACATGCAATACTCCAAGAGCCTGGTCAACAAAGACGCCTACCGCAAAGAGATCCGGGAGCTGGGGGAGAGGTGCGATGAGATGCAGCTACAGCTGTTCCAGAAGGAGGGCCAGTTACTAGCCGCTGAGGCCAAGCTGAAAAAGTTGCATCTGGAGCCACCCACGCTGGTAAGTCTGCAGGAATACACAGCTACATGCAGGTATTGTGCTATGGGCAGGGGAAGAGGCTGGAGGGCCCTGGCTCTGGGTATTGCACTGACTTCAGACACTGACGCTGCCTGTAGTTGGGATCAGCCTCGATTCCGCAATCAATGGCTGTGCTTAGACAAGGGAACTTGGGATTGGCCGCAGTAGAGCTCACCCTGGTTTCCAGCGTAAGTAATCTCCACCAGTGCAAATGCATCCCTTCCTTATTTGCATTTGGGGCTGGCCCTGGTGCATCAAGGCCAACTGAAGCCCAGGAAGGACAAGGCTTGAGCCATTGGGGTGAAATCTGTGGGGGGGGGGGAGATGTACCATAACTCTGTTCCTAAGCCCAGAATGAAAAGAACGCCCTAGTATCATAGTCTCTTGGGTGGCTTCTGGCTGGGCCGGTCGGGACAGGTAAGAGGGAGGAAATCCCTGCGTCTCAGTTCCTAGCTTTCGTTCTGTTCTACGTGCCATCATTGCCGCTGTCTCGCTGTGGAGCATGCTCTCCAGACTGATCCCTGACTGGCTTGTTTTCTTACAGTTCCAGACTTCTGACCTAGATGACGTCTCACCCAGGAGTTCCCAAGAGGTGAGGAAAGTGGCTAGCTGCTTTTATACTGGAGACCAGCCCAGTGGCTGGGTGGCATCGGGTTCGAGAGAATGTGTGCACCAATCCTGAGTCATCCAAGCACATCTGGGCTGCAGCTCAGATTCTGGGCCAAGATTTGTAGCTCTGTGAGTGTAACTTTAAATGCTCGGGATACAAATAAAGGGCCCAGTTCTGCAGCCCTGACTTGCGTGGGGAGCCCCACTGACTCTGAGCAGATGTGACGAGTCTCTGCGAGGATGCACCGAGACAGCCTTTCCAGCATGGTCCCTAGCATGGCCAGATTGCTTCAGCTGCCGTGAAGCAGGAGCCAGCAGTTGTCTAGTGTATTGCATCTTCAGTCAAGATACAAGATGTGAATAAAAGGGAATCCTCCCCCTGCCTGGATATAAAGGAGTCCCAAGGAGTCCCAAGTCTCAGCCAAAGCCAGTGCAGCCTGAATCTCCATGGAAAGCATCAGGGTGAAGGGGGAGTTAGTGTCCTGTAATGGGGTGAGGAGCAGGGCTGGTTTAATGGATTGAAACCATGGCAACTTTGCATCTTTCAGGTGAGATCTAAGGTCCTGGCCACTTGTGATCATTTACAGATCTTAGCTCTTTCCTGGTGACCTAATTAAACCCCAATGGAGGCAATTACAACCTGCCTCCTTGCATCCCCTGGCCATCCCACTGGAGAAGTCACCCTCCACTTTTCCCCACACTGCTCCAACTGTTGTGTAATGTTTGCTGCTGCTGCTCCCTGCCTAGAGGCAGCTGCATTCAGCGGTAGGTGATGTGACTGATGTGGGACGAAAGGTGCCATACACACAATAGAAGTACTATCCTATTGGTGTGGGGTAGTGTTTTCACTGGAGAATTGGCTTCATTCATGCATAGCACTTGTATCTACAGGTGCATCACTAAGGTGATATTGCATAGGATGGGTCGGCAGCCTTGCAACTCTCGCTAGACAGGAAAGAGAAACTTGTGGAATCCTGGGGCTCTGTTTTTGTTTTTAATCGTTTGTCTTTTTTGTGGGAGACGAGGAGAGGAAAATGAGTGTTGCTATTTCCCCAGAAGAGATGTATTTCTTTTTGTCCCAAAGCTCTCTTTCCATGGAAACCTGGATGAGGACACACTGCTGTCTGATAAAAGTAAGACTTTTTGCTTAATTTCTACTTGGAGACATTAGAGCAGTATTCCCGATACAATATGTCTAGTGGTTCAAGCAGGCAGCTGGGAATCGGGACCTTCTGGGTTCTGCCCCTGGCTCTGCTGTGTAGTCTTGGGGCATCAATGGGGCCTGAATTCTCAAAAGTAATTAATGGTTTTTGGGGCCCCAATTTGGGACACGCTTTTGGGACTCCCAGGGTGGGTGCTCAGCACTTTGAAAGTCAACCCACAGAAGGTGTCTCAACTTGGGTACGCCAAAATGGAGGTGTCTAGACCTCCCGGTCATCTCCCGAAAGGGATGTCTGTGAAGCCCCCTGCTGAGCACTTAGAGCTTTTTACCTTCATTCGTCTGTTCATGACATGTGATCTGGGAGGGTCCTCAAGTGGCTGCATTCTGGAAGGCTATGTTGGGCTAGCTCATTATAACAGCACTAGGCAATACTGTTCCATTTGATCCTAAAGTCTCATTATTAAGAGATTGCCAGTGTATTGATGCCCCCAGGAAAAATGAGCTTGGAGATGTGCAGGGCCTGACTTTTCAAAGATGTGGAGGACTCTCTGTCCCCAGTGAAGTTAAGGAGTACTGCGGGCACTCGGCATCTATGAAAATCAGACATTACGTGACTTGCCTGGGCTCTCTCTGCTTGTTGGGGCAGAGCTGAGAACAGCCCAGGTGTCCTGACTCCACTTTAACTGAGTCGTGCACCTTTCTCCATGCTCTTTGCTGGGTTGTTTTTTTCCCTTAAATTAGGTTATTTTCACTTGGGTTTTGACAAAAGCAGAACTAGCTAATGAACACACCATCCCCAGTTCTGCTTTTGTGGAGGTTCAAGTGGAAATGACTCATCATTGAGGAAGACTTGACAGGCTACACTGAGGGTTTGAACTACGCTTCCAAAAAGAAGAGAGAAACTGCCCCATGGGAGCATCTTCCTGTTTTAACCTCCTGAGGGGCTGAATATTTTTTTCACCCATTTGGGAAGGGAGATCACTGAAAAGCTTGAGACGCCCCGGTCTGATTTTAAGTCCCAGTCCAAGTTAGCAGGTTGGTAGCGATCTCTGCTCCTGAATGGATTGCTGTGAGTTCAAATTCTGCACTTGCACGATGAAGTCATAGTGTGAACTGCACAGTTCTATATAGGATTGATCTTGCTAGAAAACTAGGCTGTGTTAACGCAACCCTCAAGAGTATGTTCTAACTAACATGATATTAAACATGACTTAGCTAGTGTGGACAGTGACTAGTCATGTTTAATATCATGTTAAGCAATGTGACCTCTCAACTTATCTTCGTTAGAGAACAACCTTAAGGGGCTGCTTTGTTGAGGTCCCTTGGGTTCATGCAAAGATCCCACGTCCCTTTTGGAAAAGAGTTATGGGAAAAACCCACTGTCCTGAGCAAGATTCCAACAGCTAGTAAAATGGCAGCTTGCTGTAGTGGACTGAGCTCCGGACTGGAATCCAGGACCTCCTGAGGTCTGGTTTTCACTTTCCCACTGACTTGCGGTATAGTTTTGGGCGAGTCACTTCAATTTTGTCTCCTTTTCTCCACTCATCTGTCAACGGGGGATAGTAATGCAGATTACATCCCAAGGAGGTTGGAAGACTGGCTTAATGTATGTGCAGCATCTTGAAAACGCGGCGCACTCTGCACGTACCAAGCAATAACCTCCTACACGAGGTGTGAGCTATTGCCAGTGACCCAGTGGCCATCGCCCTTCACCTGCATCGGTTACTGTGTTCTCACCGTCTCACTTGTTAATTCTGCAGAGCACTTTGGGACACCCGGGGTATGAAATATACAACGTCTACAAGCAGTTGGTTCTATTCTAAGGTTGTAAAACCACAAACCAATGACGTGAAGAAGGATGGGCTTGTGATGAAGGCCCTGGATGGGGACTCAGGCGATCAGGGATCAATTCCTGGCTCTGCCATGCAATCCCTGGGTGGTCTTGGACAAATCACTTCATCTCTCTGAGCCTCAGCTCCCTATCTGTACAAAGGGCGAATCCTTCCTTTGTCTGCCTTGTCTCTATCCGATGGAAAGTTTTTGGGGGCTGGGGCTGCTTCTAGAACAGCAGGGGTCCAAGTGCTAATGTAACACAGATAATAAATAACACCAGTTTGCGACTACACTTGCAGTTTTTCCTTCTCTCTTAGAAGATCTCTCTGAAGGTCGGGATCAGCAGTTCAGTGCGTTAGAGAGCATTCAGTGCCTGCAGTCGTCAAACGTAAGTGTCTTTGTGAACCCTCCGCTTTTTGGGGCCTCGCTCACGACGATTAACATTTGCATTTGCGATAGGCTTGTCCAGTTTGGAGGTACCTGGCACTTTCGCAGGGAGAGTTATGTATTCTCATGACCAAATTCATCCTTCAAATAACAGCAGGGCATCATTGTCCTTTCCATCTCTTCTGGAAGCTGCTGCTCTTCGGGAGTGGTATGGGTGGGAATGGAGTCCGCCAATCAACACATCCGCTGCCTCGCTGTCAGTCAGGAATGTACTGTTTCATGGCATATTACAAGAATGGGCAGCCTACAGGCGCCATCTCCGGTAGGGCGCTTTTGGGACAGTTGTTGGTGTTTCTCTCATCCACTTGACCTTTACGTTAGGATTTAGTGGCTGATCCTGCCTTCCTTGCACACCCCAAACTCCCATTGTTGTCGTTGATCATTTATATTGCTGTAGCGCCAGATCGGGACCTTTGTTGCGCAAGGTGCTGTACAGGCACATAGTAAATGCTTGTCCCTGTCCCAAAGAGCTTACACTCTATGGGAGTCTTGTTGAACAGGATTGGCTGGACCTAATTCAGGAATAATCCACATTAAATTTAAAGGATGATATCGAGCCTCTGATTTTCTAGAATTAGCACTGGCAACGCTAACTGGGTTTTTAAGCAATTTCCTATTGACAGGGGAGTGTTTCCTTTCTCATCTATGTCAGCCGTTGCAAATATCTCTCAACTTCTCCTTTTTCTCCTAACATCATTTCTCCCCCTGCTCCCCAAACCTGCTCTAGCTAATTAATGTTCAGCGTCTGTGTTGTCTGAGCACTGATGTTTGTGATTAAATGGTCTCCAAAGCAATATTGCTGTTCCTATTCATGCTGCTGGGAAGAGGATGTGAACCTCTGGCTGTACAAATGGATGAATCCAGACATCCCTTCTGTGCCCCAAGGAGCTCTGCTGTCATGGCAAAAGGAGATCTTAAGTGGTTAATCTTCTGATTCTGGTGTTTAGGGCTTCACCCTCCAAGCCCTCACTTGGGCAAGTAACCCCATTGCCTTTGGTGGGATCGGTAGCATGAGCACTAATCCGTAAGCGATGCAGAAGCGGGCTCCTGTACAAACCACAGTGGGTGCTGTGAAGAACCAAACTGTTCAGGAGAGATGAGGGCAGTTCAGCATTCGGGGAGGGAATAGTGGTGGAATGGATCTTCAGTCCATTGGATGCCTTCAGAAGGAGGCCATAGAGTTTTAAGTGTGAGTCAGGGCCTGAGCCTGACTCGGCCATGCACAGGATAATGGGGCCAGGAATGAACACAGGAGGCTGTAACGTTCCCCAGGGACCTGTGGACATCAGAAGCTGCCAGCGCAAAGCGTGTGTGCTTTCTAAATGGCAGCAGCACCCAGAGGATGCATTTGGCCATGAAGTTGCTCTCAGCCTGTTCACTGGTACAGGTTCATTTTTAATGAGTGAATTGAGTGCTCATGGAAACCACTGGGAGCACACCACATGGCACTGCGTGGACAGCAGCTTTCCATGTTCTCCACACCCCCTCCACTGCCCTGTCCATTGTGCCTCTTTTGTCCTTCAGGGACCAACTCCAGAAGTTGAGTCTCATTGCCCACATAGTTCCTGGCCTCCATGTAGAGCAAGGCTGGCCCCATCCCCACCCAGCCCCAAGCTTCAACTAGACCAGGCCTTTCTTTTCCTTTCCAGGAGGGTGGCCCACCCAATGGAGAGCTGGCTGAGAAGGAGCGGCGGCGGATGAAGGACAGCTTTGAGCACTATCGGAGGTCTGGCCTGTGCTCTCGGGACTGCTCTTGCCATGTTTGCATAACCTACTGGTCACTGTGTGTCATGTCCCCTGCTGTGCCTGATCCACGGAGGATGAGAATCTGTTACTGCCTTCTCTTCTAGCTCAAGCCGTAGGGACTCGTGCATTTAGTCCCAGATGTGCCGAGCACGTTGGCCAAAATGGCAGCCGTTGCATTGCACTGAAACAAGTGTGGATGTTTTCAGACACATGTATATCATGGCCTGTGTCCTAGGCTGCTTCATGCCACTGACCGATTCCACCGTAGTTTAACAGAGCGGTACCCAGAGGACATGAAGCTGGGGGTGGTCACCTGGATCATGGGCAATGGATCACAACGCCACTCACTCAGATTTGTAGAGGGTCTGTGCAGGGGCTCATGGGCCATGTGGGTCAGGCTGCTGGTGGGAGGAAAAGGAGTTCCTGAGAGGAGGTGGTGAGGGTCAGGTGGCAGGGACACAAATCTATGCCCACCCCACCCCAGACTTTTAATGGCACTCTGCAGTCCTGGGGGCACCATACTTTGGGAACTGCTGGCTTGGTAAGTTTGATCTATTTTACTAGCTCAGGGTTCCATCCTGCTACTGCTGACACCAAAGACCAAGCTCCTATTAATGAGACCCAGGGCAGGTTTGAGCCCTTTCAAAACGATTGCAAGTGGCCGAGCACCTCTGTCTCCGTCTTTGGGGATTGAAGGGACTGAGCATCATGTCAAATGCAGATCTGAATTTGCACACGAAATAGAAATGATCCAAAAGAGCTAAATGCTGGAGCAGATTACAGGAAACATCTAAAACCATGTAGTATTGCTTCTGTAAGTGGTAGTGTGCTGGGGTCTTGTGTAATATTTGTATTCAAGAAGGAACTGAGAGTCAGGAAATTCTTGCATTCAGTTGTACTGTACATTGAGGAATATAGGAATAGCTTTACTGCTCTAGACTAAACCCAATAAGCTTCTGATCACAGTCTATATTGGATGCTTGAGAGGAGACCCAGAACACTAATCACAATTGTGGATAATTTATTTGACAAAGTTGCCCCAATGAACAACGTTGATTCAACCAGTGCGCCCCAGAAGTACAGGCGTGTGCTACTGTATCATGGAAGGAGACTTCTTCCTGACCTTCAGCAGGTGATTACTTTGTGTCCTGGTGCATGAAGGTAGAAAGGCTGCCTTAATTTTTACTTTGGCCAGTGTCACTGCAAATGCACAGTCCTGTTTGACTGAGTACTAATTGAGTTTTTTCAGTTTGCTGGTTTATGTGTAATTGAGAAGCTTGTTGCTCATGGAATTTTGTTTTTCTCATAAATGTTTAACCTAACTTACAGAAAGAGGGCATTGCGAAGGGTACAGAAGGGCAGACACCATGAAGTGGACTGGGAAAACAACACTGGTAGTGACAACACGGACACTGAAGGCTCCTAATACCATCAGCTCAACTGCAACGGGAATTACAAAAAGTTTGCTGGGGTTATAGTGCAAGAATCTTCCCTTCTGCCCGTCTAAGCTGATTGATATTTAAAACTTTTTCTCAATAACCACCTTAACATTTACTACGTTGAAGGCACTGGACTGGGATGCAGGAGATCTGGACTATATTTCTGCCTCTGCCATAGCAATCCTATATGACCTTGGCCTGGTCACCTAACCAGTTCACGTCTCTGTGATTCAGAACCCTAATTCTTTTATAGATTTAATGGGGATGATGATGTCCTTCCAGAAGTGGTATGAATCTAAATGAATTAAACTCCAATTGCTCTAGCAGAAATCCTTACCATCATGGTGCTATGTTAGTGCATTGTAGTATTCTGTGCAAAAAACAGTCCAAGTAAAAAAATACACTTTTTTATTTGCTTCAAAACTGGACTAAACGGTGTGCTAAAAATATAAAATATGCTAAACATTGTTGCTATGGCAACACCACCCAACAGTGGGATATGGAAAAACCCTCTGTGGCCATAGTCAACCTATTAGCTTAAGAAAATATTTTCCTTATGATTTCCAGAAAAATAATCAAATGAGGGAGAATGTAATACCAATTAATGCCCCAATTCCACGATTGCTAGCACCATCAGTTAAAAAATAACATGCCATCTTCCCCTCCCCTACCCCTCCTCGTGAGACTTTAATAAATGGTGGCTTCCTTTTATTTTATTATTTGCTTCCTGCATTCACGTTATGTTTTCTTCCATACCCATGAGGGCTAGAACTTTACTGTTTTATTTTTTTAAATGAAACCGAAGGAGCTGGGCCATTAAGCATATTTGGAATGGCAACATTGTGGTCTTGTAACTCCAGCTGTGTGAGCAGGCCTCTGGTAGAGCCACTTGAGCTCTGTGCAGGTGTCCTGGCCAGGTACTCCAACAACAGAAGGGCCTAAACCAGAAAACTAACCAAATCTAGCAGGGTGCAGAGGGCGTGCCCCTATATCATTAGCAAATATAAAAGCAAACACACAATAGCATAGGTTTGACCAAAACTAATTTAGCTCCACAGTCTTGAATAGCGTTTTGAATATACATCAGTTGCTGTTATGTTAAGCATGTCTAAGGCTCTGTGTACTATCAGAAAGAGAGAGCACTAGTGTGCTGAGAGTGACGTCGACTGCTGGTGTATAGGGGTAGATGCCCAATGCTAATAGCAAAGGAGAGAACACACTCCTTGCACGTTACCTGCTGTCCTTCTGCCCACCTGCAACTGGACCTATCCAGCTGCAAAACGTCACAGGTTTTTCTTTCTCTTGGATATTCAGTCAGCCAGAGGTTGCTGAGGTTTCTCGTACTACTCTGATAAGTGGGATGTGAGACCTTACTGGGCCCTGGCTTCCTCCTTTAGTAGTAAATACCCTTGGCACTGAAGGGCTATCTCTGGAAAACCTGGGTCTGTGGTCTGCCCAAGCTGTGGACAGAGCACCAGGCTGGCCAGAGCTCAGGGTGACTAACGAGGGTGTCCCTTTCATTCGCATGGTGACAGGGGGGTAGATGCGCCTCTCGAGGGCCCACCCGCTGGTGGTGGGGGACAGAGCAGTAGGCTGAGGGGTCTGGGTCCAGAGCGCCACACACTCCAAGGGGGACGGAGGGATCCCCTCTAGTAGACCGATTTCTCTGGTGGAGCGGGGCCCATGTCTGTTGATTTACGGCTATAGGATCTAAAGGCAGTAGGGGAGACAACCCCCCCGCCCGCTCAGTGGGGGTGTGGGGGGGGGGGCGGGCAGGGCCTGCTTTGGGGGGCAGGGCAGGGAGCCTCCTGTGTATGATTTAGGGTATAGGAGCAGGGCTCCCCGGGCACCCAGCTCAGTGATGTTGGGGAGGGGGCCCTGCTTCTGATTTTGCAGGTAGAAGAGTCCCCCTCCCCCCCCGGTATCCCGGACGGGCTCCCCCCGTAGCCCGGTGGATTGGGTGCACGAGGCCTAGCGGGGGCGGGGAGCCCGGCTCGCTGCCCACACCTAAGATGGCGGCCGGGGCCTCAGCGGCCGCCCCATCCGGGAGCCAGAGCGGGCGGGATGCTGCGGGCCGGGCGGAGGCTGGGGTCGCTGGGGGCCCGGCTGGGGTCTGTGTGGCGATGGGCCCCGCCGTCCCGTCCCAGGGCCCGGGCAGCCCCAGGGCCCCACCCCTGCTGCCCGGAGCCCGCCTGGCCTCGCAGGCTCTGCAGCGCCCACGGGCCGGGCGGCGCCGTGGGGCAGGTGGAGGCCACGCACTACCGGCTGGTGTACACCTGCCAGGTGGGGCTGGGGCGCTGTGAAAGGGGGTTAGGGGAAGCTGGGGTGGAGGGGGGAAGCTGGGGGGGGGAAGAGGGTGTTTGGATGGGTGCTGGGGGCCCCTGAGGAAGGGGAGAAGCTGGGGCTGGGGGGCCCTGGGGAGGGGATGGGAGTTGGGTGCGAGGGGTACCCCAGTGATTGAGGGCTGAGGACTCGCTGCAAGGTATCTGGGCATATTGCTGTTATCTTTTGGGGGACATCTGTGTTGTTTTGGGGCTGGGAGTTGCTGCATGCTTGCAAATGGAGACTCTTAAACCCCATAAGAAAATGTTTTGTAGCCCTGCAGCCCCTATTGCAAAAGGGAAAGCGACTAAGGCCAGTGCCCACTAAAATTGCTTCCCCCTTTCAACTCTTCTTTTAGTAGTAATAAAGTGTGTGTGTTTCATTTAATCCCTTAAATGTCTTACTAAAAGCTAACATGTGAGATGTCACATTGGGTGAATATTTTTGAATCAGCTTCAGGGTTGTTTTAGTTCATAATAATGTTTTGATTATTTGCCATCTGTGCTTTCATAGTCAAATTCAAACCTTTAAATCCTATCCAAAATAAACTTAAATACACAGGAGTTGGTCTTTCCCGAGGTTTAAAAACACAAACAAGTACAATCCATGGTATCTAAACAACCAAGAATATCAGGCTTGAGAAACTGATTTGTATTCTACTTTACGTTTAGGAATGCAAACCAGTGTGGTTTTTAAATTATTCTTTCAGCAAGAGAGTGAGGAAAGATCAGTAAGTCTCAGAAATCAAAATGCGTTTGGGGCTATGTTGTTTCCATTGGCCCAAGTTCAAATGACATAGGAAGGTAGCATACCTCTGAGTAACAAGCTGGGTAGGATCATATTGTGGGGCTGCATGACCACTTTAGTTGAAGAAATGTTATGGTTGGGGGAAAACAAGTCCTTTTTATTCAGATAAACGGTGTCTCTGATTTTGTTGGGTTGTAATATAGCTGTGTCTTTTTACAAAATAAAAAAATCTAAGCATCTTGGTCATGAAATTAACTTTGTTCACTTTCTAGGTCTGCAAAACACGGTCAGCAAAAACGATTTCCAAAGTAGCGTATCATAACGGGGTGGTGATAGTAAAGTGTCCTGGTTGCAAGAATCATCACGTCATAGCAGATAACCTGGGATGGTTTTCAGATTTGGAGGGGAAAAGGTAACTGTGTCAGACAGCAGCTCTTCCCCCTTCTCCCCCTTCAAAATATACCCCAATCTTGTTTAGCTGATACAAAGCCTACAAGAAACAGAAGTCCAGTGTAAGTGGTGGTTTAAATGCGCAGGAGAGTTATTGCTGGGGATAATCTCTGATTCAGCTAACTTTCTGAAGCATGTAAGAAGACTCCAGCCCCATGGCCGAGTTTTCTGACCCGTTGCAGATGGGTGGTGTAAATAATGGAATCTCCCAACCAAGGCCCACTAAGTGGGATGTAGCCAAAACAGTTAGAAAGTGCATGTTGCACAGATATCACGGTTGCTAGTTGCAGTCTTATTGCTGGATGTGATATTTTATTCTCCATCAGGGTTTATTAAATCATTGCTGGTCTCTGGCTAGCATGTTCAAAGGAGCCTAAAGGAGTTAGGTGCTCAAATCCTGTTGAATTTCAAAGGCTTCCAACTCCCTTCAACTCCTTTGAAAATCCTACCTCTGTCTAACTGCAGTTGCCAAATTAGTGATCATGTTGCATGAAAGTTGCCCCTAAAGTCTGTAATCCCATCGTCTCCACAGTCACCTGGACTACCTCTGCTAGGAGGAAATGTTATATTCATCTTCAGAACTTGAATTTCTGCTAATGGTGAAAACAGAATGCAGCTGAGAGCACCTAAGCCTCAGCTGCAAAATCTAACATCTAGTCTCATGGGCACCTTTGCAATGTTACTAGTGTTTTTTAACTTGTAATCCAGGAACATTGAGGAAATCCTAGCAGCCAAAGGGGAGAAAGTGAGACGTGTAGTTGGCGAGGATGCCTTGGAACTGCTCCCAGAGAGGACTGCAGAGACAGAGTCGCAAAACCACCACACAGAGGGAGAAGGTGGGGAAAGGTCCTCGGAGTCTGGAGACAAGGGAACAACCTGATCAACAGAGTTCCCTCTGCTCTGCGTTTGGCAGAGAAATGCTTTGCCATCTCTCTCCCCCTTTCAACTTTGTGTTTTGTTTTTTTTAATAAATTCAGGATCAGGGAAGCCTTGGCCTCTGGTTTATTCCCATCTTTGTACTGTGCAGCTTCACCTTTGACCAGTCACATGGGAATTGTTTTTTTACAACTGGAATCTTCATGTTCTCGCTGTAGCATGTAGTGGTGATTTTAAAACCAGCCTTATTTCTTAAATGACACTAGGAATCCTGCTTTGTTCTCTTGTTCCAAGCCTGGAACCAGTAGGTCTTCGTTAACTTGTTTGGGGAGGCCCAGGGGGGGAAAGCACTAAATTAGTGAGTTTTTAGCAGTGTTTTGCTGTTCTCCTCTGCTATGCATATTTTAAGGTTAGTTCCTCAGCTGGTATAAATCAGCATGGCTGAATGGAGAGAGATTGACTCATACCAGCTGAGGAGCTGGGCTCTTAACGAACTGGAGCTTGCAAAGCCAGTGAGATTCTGTAGCAGGGAAGTATGCCTCCAGGCTGCTCTGCTGCTTAGAGTGGGGGCTGTTCTGCCTCTTGTCTCCCCACCTTGGTTTCTTTATTGCATCCCCTATTAACTTTGGGCAGCTTGGTAAATCATCTGCCAGAGGTGGCTGGTACTTGGGGCATGATTCCTCTAAGGATGAATGTTTGGTCTGTAGAATGCACTTGTGGGGACAGGGCAGCCCGTGGCATGGGTTGTTTGGCTGTAATTATCCGAGAAGGATTTTGCACCCTTCCTGCCAAGGGGCTGCTGCAGTCAGGCTGGAGACACCTACTCTGTCTTCCCTCATCTCCATCCCAGCCACAAGAGCCAGCAAATGGGTGAGTGACAAACTGGGGGTTTCTGCTTTACAGGCACTAGAACTGCAGTTATTCTATCTTCTGCACCATGGCCTTCTGGCAGGATTGGTGTGTGCACATACAAGCTAGAGGGATGATGTTTAGTCAGTCACAGCTAAGATCTCCATTGCGGTCTATGCCAGGCATGATGGAGGTAGCCAGAAAGTAGTTGCATTGTCCTGGACACAACCTCTCCAGGTCATGCACAAACTTTCATCCTTTCATAATCCATCAGCAGCACGCACTGATTTCCTGTGCTACCTTGGGCACGTCTTGAACGCTGGGCTGGTGCCCAAATGCTCCTGAGTTCTAATTTGGGCTCTGCCACAGTTGCTACATGGTCCTGTTGGGCAAATCACTTCACGTTTCTACCTCAATTGTCCCGTGGTGCAAAATGGGGATTAGGAAACCTAATTCCGTTCCTCCTAGGGATGTTCTGAGGATTGATTAAAGCTTGTAAAGTGCTGAGAAGATGAGCGCTAAGTCTGAAGAGTGTTTCTAGAGCCACTTGCCAAACACTATTATTATGAGATGTTAAAATCAACCATAGTATCTAAAAGGCTAGCAGGATGACCTAATGCACAATGATGTGTCTTGCAGCAGAATGGTCACATCAGATTGTCTTTGGGAAAGATGGATTGACGCCCTTTATTCTTGGGGAGGGGGGGGAAGGGAGGAGAAAACGGTCTAGTCCCTGAGGTGTAATGGCCTTTCTTGCTGAGGTATAATAAAAAGAACCTGAGTCCTTATCTGCGCTTAAATATCTGTCTTTTTTTAGGTTCTTATATGGCCTTGCCAGAGTATGTGAGCACCTCACATATATTAATTAACCTAGTGCCATTCTTCTGAAGCTCTCACAGTACTTCAGAAATGTTAATATAGCCACAGAACAGCTCTGGGTGGAAGGCTAGTAGTATCTTCATGCTTACAGATAAGTCTAGAGTGGTTACATGGCTCCACTGAAGCAAGACTCCCACAGAGCTACAATTTACAATGGCAGCTCTCTGAGGAGGACGGTGCTGTCCTTGTGTGTGTGCAGTGCCTAGCACAAGGCAGCCCCTGTGCTTGAATGAGCCCTATAAGGTCTACCACTATACAAATAATAACTAAGAGTCGGGGGTCCTATATTCCAGCCCCTTGCTCTACCCAGTAGACACATCCCATTAGAATTTGTGGAAACAGGCTAGCACTGTCCTCCCAGGAGCTTATTCCCACCTCTCTGTCTCTCAGCACGGTAAAAGTGCTGAGATTCCATTGTGACGGATGCTTTAGAAATGAATGTAATAATATATACTCGTCCCTGAGCACTGCGAGCTCCGTGCTGTCCTGGTAATCATGAACTTGCAAACGTATCTTTGAGAAGTCTCTCTTACCTGTCAGTTTATACGCTAATTAAGGACAATGGGATCACACTACTCAATGGGCCATGTGGCAAGGGAGTGACAGAGGGAACCCGCTGTTTAAATGATACTGTTAACCTAGGTAGCAACAAACAAGGTGGAGAAGGCTGGAGAGCCACCGAGGATTCAAAGCCAATGGGGGCTGAACACCTCTGAAAATCAGGCCACAAGTTGTTTATTATTATTATTGTTTAGTCATAGTCCAAGACTCCACTGTGCTAGGCGCTGTACAAACACAAACAAAGGGGTTCACTCTTGCAAGATCCACAGCAATGTTTCTGTAGGGTCTTCCACGCTTTCCATGTATTGGATTGGATTTGAATGGCCTATTTTAAGAGCACCCTGGGAAGGGATGTGTTTATTTGCATGATAGTGGATTTTTTTCCCAACTAGACTTCTCTGTTGCCTGAAGCAAATCTGCCAAAAAGCCTAAATTGGAATTTCTGTTGCTATTGTATATTTTGCTTTTCTCCCTCTGTTCCCCCCCCCTTTATATGAATAATACTTGACACTTTGCATCTTCAGAGATAATTGTTTGCCCCTGTGAAGCGGGTTAGTTTATCTGTATTTTGTTATAGGAGAGAGAGGCCAAAGTCATGCAGCGAGGCAGTGTGCCTGAGAGCCCGTCTAACCACTAGGCAACACGTCCTCACTAAAACAATGTAATTTTAAATAGGTAACAACTCTTGGTGCTTACAGAGCATGTTGCAATGTTCAAAGTGGTTTAAAAGGCTGGATGTTGAATTCGATGTCGTCATTAAATGCTGATTTACTAATTGCGGCTCCAACCCATATGGATTAATGGTTGTGCACCTAAGCAGGCCCCCTGGAATTCTGTTCCCGCCTGCAGGGTGAATGAGCGGCTCAGTTGTGTGTGTGTGTGTGTGTGTGTGTGTGTCAGTTGTTCACTCCCCTGGCGTTTTGCACCTGCCCCTTTAACACTGGCTCTGCCCGGCCCCTTTCAGCAGGGAAGGCAGAGCCTGAGCTGGGAGAATTTGCAGCTGCTGCTGAGGGTCTGTGCTGGGTGGCCAGGAGGGAGGAGGAGGCACAGAGGGCCAGGAGCCAGGCTGCTTCCCCCTTGCACAGCAGGGGCTGGGCTGAGATGGCAGAGGTAGGTGCAAAGCCCCTTGCGAGAGGGGAACCAGCCTGCCCCCGAGTCACTCCATTTTCTCCTTAGGAGAGAAGGGAGGAAGGGGCCGCCGAGGCTCCTGGGAATTGTAGTTTTTTTGGGAGGCTGCTGCCCCTAGTAGCCTTGAGGGCTTGTTCATAGCCTGGCTGGCCCTGCCTCTGGACCTGCAGAAGGCCAGGGGCTGCTGTGGCTTAGCCGAGCTGGAGGTGTGGGGCGGTTCCTGGGTTTTGAGGCTCCACAGTCGCTCTAGAATTTACTCGGCTCCAGCCGGTTGCACGGAGGCTCTCGGAGTCGGCACAGGGTTGAGCCCCAAATGCTGGCTCTTCACAACGAAGAGCAGCCGGCGGGTGGCGAAGCGAAGGATGAGTCTGTGGCTAAGGCACTGGGCTGGGAGCCGGGAGAGAGGGGTTGAGATCCCAGCTCTGCTACAGATTCCCCTTGTGACCTGGGGTAGGGGGCAAATCACTTTGTCTGAGCCTCTGTTCCCTATTTGTAGAAGTAGAACCCTGCCTTTCTCCCACGCTTTGCTGTTTTATCTTGGTAGGGCTTATGTACACATAAAAGTTATTCCAGAATAAGGCAGAGTGTGAATTGAAAATGGAATAGCTAGTCCGGAATAGCCCCCTGTGTGAACATTCTTATTCTGGAATCAGTGCCTTTTTCTGGTTAATCTTAATCCACTTCCAAAGTGGATTAAACTAATTTGGAGAAAGGCACTCTTACTCCAGAATAGCTCATGGACAGACGAGCCCTGAGATCTGTCAAGTCTCTGAGGCAGGAACTGTCTCTTGTTTGTACAGCACCCAGCACAAATGGAGTGGAGTCTGGGGCTTGCCCTGCTCCGGTGCTCTAGCCAGGGAGCAGGGTCAGGGGTTGCTCCACACAGCTCCTGGAAGCAGCAGAATGGCCCCACTCCGGCTCCTATGCATATGGGCAGCCAGAGGGCTCTACTCCTCACGCTGCCCCCACCCCAAGTGCCGCCCCCGCAGCTCCCATTGACCGGGAACTGCGGCCAATGGGATCTGCAGGGGCAGCATCTGCGGATGGGGCAGCGTGCAGAGCCGGAGAGGGGACGTGGCCGCTGCTTCCGGGAGCCGCTTGAGGTAAGCGCTGCCTGGAGCCTGCACCCCTGAGCCATCCCTCTGTGCCCCAGCCCTGATCCCCTCCAAACCCCTCGGTCCCAGCCCAGAGCACCCTCCTGCACCCCAAACTCCTCATCCCCAGCCCCACCCCAGAGCCTGCACCCCCAGCTGGAGCCCTCCCCCCCCCCCGCATTCCCCCGCCCCAGCCCAGAGCCCCCTCCTGCACCCTGAACTCCTCATTTCTGGCCCCACCTCGGAGTCTGCACCCCCAACCAGAGCCCTCGCCCCCTCCCGCACCCCAACCCCAATTTGTGAGCATTCATGGCCCGCCTACAATTTCTATTCCCAGATGTGGCCCTCGGGCCAAAAAGTTTACCCACCCCTGGACTAGAGCCCCCAGGGACTCGATGGCACCAAACTCTCAGGCTGCAGCCCCACACACAGAGCAGAAAAGTTGTGCTCTTCATCAGAACATATTGGAAGGCTTTGTCTGCTTTTAGAAATGTTGGGGGCGGGGTTGTGTGCACTCGGGCAGTCTGTGAATACTGGAGGGGGGTTTGCTGGGAGTAAATTGAAGGGTTTTGAAGTCCGGGGCTCACACTTGAAGAGGCAGTGCAGTCTAGTAGATGGAGCACTGAGACTGGGACTCACGTGACCTGGGTTCTAATTCCAGCTCTGACGCTGACTTTGTAACCACAGGCCAGGCTCTTCACCCCTCTGTTTCCCCTGGAGACCTTTGTCTGCCTGGTCTCTTTAGACTGGGAGCTCCCTGGGGCAGGGACTGTCTCTTACTGTAAGTCTGAACAGGGCCTATTGTGCTAGGTTCCATATACACACATCGCAAGAGTCAGTCATTCACTCGCTTTCTCAGAGGAATATTTGTCCCAAGAGCAATTCTCAACAGCTGGCTCTGTTCATCTAAGACCGACGCAGCGATGCCATTAGTTATGTCCAGGTAACACAGGGAGATGTGTTCAGGGATTGTACGGGCTATAGGTGTTGTCCGAGCAGGGAGCCAGGAGTTCCTGAATTCTCATCTTCACACTGCTGCTAAATCCCTCTGGGACTTTGGGCAAGTCATTTTCTCCTGCTCCGTGCCTCAGTTTCCCCTCTCCAAAAATTAGGTAGAACATTGACTGACTTTCCAAGACTGTTCTGAGGAGTCGCATCATACTTTCTAGTTATGAAATGCCAAGTATGAGCCGAGCCTCACCCAGATCCATAGGTCCGAACAAATGCTTCCCGACTTCAGAGGAGTGTGAATTTCTCTCTGGACTTTGTCATGTGGGTCCAGCTCTGATATTATCTGAAGGAGGCAATAGATAAATAATATGTGCTGTGCCTAGGAGCCACCCAGCACCCTGGCTGTCGTCCGAAGGAGCAGGAGAGTGAGGAAGAAAAGAAACTTTTCTCCTGAAGTGGAAATTGTGGCGAAGGGGAGAAAAGTGAGCAGGGGGGATCGCGCAGCCGGGCCAGAGCAGACAAGGCGGGTTAAAGGAGCAGCTGGCTTGGGTAAGTAGACTTGGGGATAGCGGGTGGAAAGGGTGGCAAAGGAGCATTGTATGAATTATTCTAGACATGCAAAGTTTCTTGCACTGTCCTCTGAAGCGTCTAGTGGTGGCCGCTGCTGGACCAGATCGAGCCCGGATCTGATACAGTCTGGTGACTCCTGTGTTCCTATACCCCACAAGGGCTTTTCAGCACCATGGCAAATGCGCTCTCTGCCTCTCCTGCCCATTTCCTCTTGCGTCGCATTCAGATCCCAGGGAGGCTTGATACCCTATATAAGAAAGAGTCAAGACACTGCTGTTTGGCGGCCCGTGTGAGGAGGTGGGACATGGGTGCTGCCGCTCCGGGGCTAGGGCCTGTGGGGGAACATGGCGGATGGCTGCTTGGTTGCGGTGGCTGGAGATGCCGTTCCCTTCTCATGCTCAGTGTGTGGGTGTCATTCCAGATTCCGGGAAAGGACGCGGATTCTGCTGTGACCTCTGCAGCTCTCCTTACCTCGTCGACCCCAGCCGCAGAGGCAACCAGCTGAAGACCTCTAGCTCTCTGCCTTCTCCACGCCACAAACGGGATCCCAGGACAGGCCAGGTGCTGACGCTCTGCAACGCATGTGGTGAGGGAAAGCGCTGTCCTGTGGTCTGTGCTAGGCTGAGCTGGGCATTATCTGATGGATGTACCTTATGTTCAGTATCCGTCACGTCCTCCTGTTCAAAGGGTGCTGCAATCCTGCCCCCTGCTGGGGGAAAAATGCATGCATGTATTGAGCCATCCAGCCACTGCGTTGTGGTGTGTTGAGTATCTTGGCCCATACAGCCAGTCTGTATGTAGGGCCCAATCCAGCTCCTACTGAAAATTGGTGGCAAAATTCCCTGTAATAGGAAGAGGGTCAGGCCCTTATGATCTTCTCCCAAAGTCTATTCTCTGATTAGATCTGCGCAGGTGAGCGCTGGGCAGCCCCCCCCACCCCCGGAGATGATGTCTGGTCATCTTTGAACATCTCTTGCCTCATGTCCCCCTCCCCTCCCCATCCCAGTGGTGTAATCAGCCTTTGCCTTTATCTGCTGCCACCCGGGTGAGATCCAGGAGCTGCAATGTGTGCAGAGTGACCTTTCCCTGCAAACAGTCCCCCAAGCCCTTCACTCCGATCCCAGGCACGTCTCTGCTTGGTTACTGTCCCAGGCATATAGTCATGGTGTCCAGCCCCAGAGTGACATGGAGAATGTCAGTGGTGTTGTAGTAACTGGTATCACCGAAGCGTCTGTAGGTTTTTTAGCAGTAGCTGGGGGGTTGCGGGTGACGTACTGCGATCAGGCCTCTGTTACGTTAGGAGCTCTGCTCTGCGTGTACGTGTGAAAAACGCAAAATATTACAGCTCGTCCCTCAGCATCTGTAATAACCATTGGCTGTAACTCCTCCGGGGGCGGGGATATCCCCCTAGGTCTGGCACTCGGCAGGCCTCGGAGCACTCCGAACCCCGCGAAGGATCCTGGGCCGGATGAGAGGAAGCGGCATGAAGAGCAGCTGCAGGCGTTTGGACGGGCCATGGTGGAGCTGCTCGGGGACCAGGATGGGAGCAAGCTCTGCTGTCCTGCCTACACCAGGAGACCCTGCCTCTGCCTCCAGAATTATCTCAAAGCCCCAGGTGGGTGGAGCGGGAACCTAGAGAGATGGACCTAGAGTAATATAACGTAGTGCTGTTAATCCCAGAGCTCGGTACTTAGTCCACTACTGAAATGCAGCCATTGCTGGGGTGGAGGGTGGCAACCAGCGAGTGTAGAACGTGCTAGTGACAGGGATGGGACATGTTAGCTAGAACACCGGGACATACTTGTACCCTTTGAAAACTGCCGTGAGCATGGTGTCCCTCTACAGCTGACTGGACCTTTGTTCTAAGGTCGTCTTGGAAAGCCCCACACGTTGGGACCTGTACAGATCTCTGTTCATCCGGCTCAGAAAGCGGGGAAGGGCTGGGTCACCCTGGCCAGTATATCAACCTGAGGTCCCAGGTTGTTTAAAACTTCCACCTACTAAGTACGGGAAACGTTCGTGGACCACTGCAATGGTGCCGTAATGCTATCGGGAAGATTGACCGAGACACGTGGCTTAGTCCATGTGCTTCTTGAAAGGCAGCTCAAGCATTCACGTGGCCCCTCCAGAGAGGGCCAGAGAGGGCACTGGCTGTAACTCCCAAAGGGTGGCACCTCGCTCCACCACTGCCAGTGTCTGCTTTGAGCTATTGGCCCACACCCTAGGGTGGGATTCGAACCCACAACCTGGTGGTGTACACAGTGAGGGTGCCACCAAGTGAGCCATAAAAAATAGTGTCCAGCATTAGTGCAACGCAAGGAGGGAGGAAGGCTGGGTCCTGTGTGTGCTGCCAGCCAGAGCCCCCTCAATCCCAGCCTCTCGGATCCAATCCCACGGGCCTCCCCCTCATGGAGGGCTTGGCAGCTCCTCTGAGCTGGGCACAACTCTTTGTAGAGCTCCACGTCCACACATGGGTCCATGTCTGACTCCCTGATGTGCTGACATGCTGCTCCCGTGGCAGGGCTGGGCGAGAACGAGAGCCGGACGCGAGCCCTCGAGTTCTTGAGGTTGCTGCAGGAATCCAAGCGACTGAAAACCGTGAAGTTCTGCAGCGCCGGGGCCAGCCAGCAAGCCGGGGAGCCCAGGAGGCAAGGAGTGGGGTGGGGTGAAACCCATGGGGAATAATGGAGCAGCACGTCCCCTAGCTGAGGGGTGGCGCGCGTGGGCAGAGCCTTCCCCAGGCAGGATTCTCCATCAGGGCGTCCTCAAATGTGTTGCTGCCGGGGCTCGCCCAGCTGACTCATGGGGCAACGCCGATAATCATGGACAAGAACAGAGCTTAGGGTGACGCCTGATCCCTTTCAGTCCAGAGAGACAGACCAACAGGGAAGGGATTTTGGGCGACGACGTGCTACTGTCTCACGTGTCCATAGGCTCCCAAGGCCTCTGCAGACCCAAGGGGCAGAACTGGCTGGCAGCCAGCCTAGCTGGTTTTTGAGCGGCTATGTTGTCCAGTGGTTAGAGCAGGGGACTGGGCCTTGGGATTCCTGGGTTCTTTTCCCAGCACCGTTATGAATTCAGTGTTTGGGGCAAGTGCTTTCCCCTGCCTTTCTCCAGTCGTGAAATGGGGGGTAGGCACCCTGATTCTGAGGCCCCGTGCTAAGGGCACAGCACTGTCCTGTTGATTTCCTCAAGGAGGCGAGCCGTCGGGCTGGGGAGCGGCCAGCGGAGATCTCGAGCCTTTGAGGACTTTGTCCTGAAGAACCGGAGGGTGTTGCGTGAAGAGCTGAAACTATGCGAGAGAGCCACGCAAAGGATTCTGGGATACTCCAACAACTTCCTGCATAAGAAGCTCAAAACAAGCAGCCAAGTAAGTTGAAATATGAATTCCCCCTCCCCCCCCGAGGATGGGGTCGTGTGGGGCAGTGTGGTGCTAACCAGTCTAGTGACGGGGAGTGTGGGTGAGGCGGAGTTACACTCCAAGAGGGTTGCTAGTGGAAGCCTGGTTTCCCCTACAGAAGCCTGCCAGAGTTGAGCGGAAGAAGGGGAAAGGGGCTCTGGGGCTCCTCAAGCCCATTGCAGAACTCGGCGAAGAGAAGTGCTGCGCGGCCAACTGCACTGCGGTAAATACTCCGGGGCCCCCACACCGCGGGGACGGGGGTGTCAGGGATGCTGGGCTCGCAGGAGCAGTGGGGCCGATCACGCCTTCAGAGCAAGTCAGTCAGATACAAAAAAAAAAATGAGCGTCTGGCATACCAATGCCTCTCTGCCAAAGGGTCCCAGGGGTTAGAGCTAGGGGGACTAAAAGCCAAAGCTCCTGGGTTCTAATCCTGTCTCTGCCTCTGATTCACTGTGAGACTCTGGGCAAGTACTTAATCTGTTTGTGCCTCAGTTTCCCTAACTGTCAAATCTTTAAAATAAAACAGTCCAGTCTCCAGGGCTCTCTTCCTTTCCCTAGACTGCATTGAGCATTGGTCCGATGTGTTAGTCTGTCCTCTTCTTGCTCCACATGCCTGAGAGGTGGGTGTCCAGCCTGCTTTCACTCTGATGGGGGTGGATCAGGCGGCCTGGCATGTATATGGACGGTACCGTATAGCATACAGGTTTCCTATGCGCTGTCTCCTTTGGCTCCTTCTCAGATGGCCCACACCTACGGCCGCCTGCTGCAGCACTGGAGAGATCGAGCATTAATGGGCCAGTCGGAGGCTCGCCGAGTCCTAGCCGAAATGCTAACGCCCTCGGGTGAGTTGTGAGCATGTGGTGTGTCCCTCTGGTGATCGCACAGGTAAAGGAATAGAAAACCTGCCTTACGGTGATAGACTCAAGGAGCTCAATCTATTTAGCGTAACAGAGAGAAGGTTATGGGGTGATTTGTCACAGTTTGTAAGTACCTACAGGGGGAGTAGACGTTTGATGATGGGCTCTTTGCTCTAGCAGAGAAAGGTCTAACACGATCCAGTGGCTGGAAGTTGAAGCTAGACAAATTCAGGCCGGGAGTAACAGGGAGAGTAATTAACCCTTGGAGCAACTTACCAAGGGTCGTGGTGGAATTATTGTGGGGAAGTTCTGGGGTCTGCTGTACAGGAGGCCAGGCAAGATGATCACAGTGGTCCCTGCTGGCTTTGGACTTCATGAATAAACGCAGAGCAAAGCTAGGGGTTTATTTGGAAACACGATGTGTGCACATGCCCCTGCCCTCTGCTGGCTGGAATCAGATCCCTGTGCTGCCATCCTATAATAGCTATGGCTGACAGAGGTTAAAAGGCTCGATGGGACTCCTGGAGATTCTCTTGGCGTCGATGATTGTAAGGTCTGGATCTCCTGCCTGCAGGTGCAGTGTCGTCTGTGTGGGACCAAGCAGCCAGGGCAATGAAACCCTCCAAACAGTCAGGGAAAAGCCCCACCGGAGTCCTGCTAAGAAAATACACCCAGCAGGGGCTGTTGGTGCAGGGCAGATCCCTGCTGATCTCGTTCTTTTGGGGCCTGTTGCAAAGCCCATTCCCGTCCATTGCGTGGGGTTTGCATCAGACCCCCGATGCTCTGGCATTTGTCCTGGCTGTGCTACCGTCCGTTGTGGTGCATGCAGGCGAGAATCACACCGTTTTCCTGTTTCCCTGCAGGGGGCAGTAGGTGTAACTGTTACCGCTTCATATCCTGGGTGACTGGCTCCAGCCCGAGCACCATTAGCAAGGTTAACGAGCAGATGAAGAGGACAGGGGGAGATAGGGAGCCCCCTCCCCACAGACTCAAGCAGTGGAGGAAGGTTGGTACCAAAGGGCTGTCCCAAAGCTGCTTCTCACCCCACGGAGTTTCTGCTTCGGGTCCATATTTTGCATTGTGTGCATTTATTGCTATGTTTTGCTAACTGCTCATGTAAAGGGCCTTGTGCAGGGGAAGGGGGACTGGCTGGTGGCGGGGGGGGGGGGGGGCATGGGCTGTGGGTCCTGCTTTCTTAGTAGGGGTGGATCTGTTGGATGGGTTTAAACACTAGATTAGCTCTCTGTGCAAGCAGGTGTAACCTAGGCAGCCAGGCTACTGAGGTAACGAGGGCACCAAGTTGTGGCAATACCGACCCTCGTGCGTCAGGGCTTCTCGGACGGTCTCTGGGGTTGGAAGGGGATTTGCCCTGAGACATCACTGACTGTCTGGCTGGGAGGGTGCGTGTGTCTTTCTGTGAAGCATTCGCTATAGATCACTGCCAGAGACAGGATAGCGGTTGGTTCTTTGGGGCCGGGGTCTGCCTTTCTGTTCTATGTTTGTTCGGCACCAAGCACAGCGAGACCCTCGTCTGTGATCACGGGTGCTACGATACAAGGACATAATCGGAGTCCCTGGGCCTGTGATGTGAGATGGTACTTTCGCCTGTGAGCCTTGAGCACAGCAGCTACAGACGAAGGACGCTCGATGAGCTTAGTCTGGCCTTTTGTTCTCAGTGAGCACGTCCCTGTCTGCGGGGACCCAGGGCTGGTGTGGAACCGACAGAAGGCAGTTCCCCAGTGTACCGTGATACAGCATCCTCTGCCTGCCTGGATGGGACAGTCCAGAGCCAGGGTGACATCACTGGGGCACTAACTCGCCCCATCAGCACATTTCATCCCGGAGAGGTCCCAAAAGGGCCAGCTTTGTGAGCAGCCTAGGACAGCCGACTGCAACGTACGGCGGGTCGGAGCCCTGAGCCAGCGTATCCGTCAGTTCTGACTGAAAGTTTTTTCAGCGTGTGGGCCTAGACGGCGGTCACCCCAGCCGGCCCCCTGGCTGACACTTGGGAGACCACCTCTGTTTTAAGGGTGTGGCGCTCCCGGGGACTATCGGGCACGAGCTACGCAGAGAGGCTGAGCAAACAGCCCTGATCTCAGTCTGGTGGGCTAGTGGCTGCAGGGTGGGCATCTGAGGTCAAAGCCATGACCGGAGGGAGGCGGCGTAAAGGGGGTTATCAGGAGCCATGGGAGGCCTGGGCTGTGGCACCCCAAACACAGACCAGATGAGCCGGCTCATTGTGTGTTCTGTTGCCATATCCACTCCCCTTCTGCTCCGCTAACCTCCTGGCTTCCCGTCCCGCCCTGTAGGAGAACCCCAAGCCCAACAAGAAGGGTTGTGTTGCTGAGGAGAGAGCGCAACCCAGTCAGGCACCATTGCTGGCTTCCCCCTCCACAGCTGGTTCCCAGGAGCTGCCTTCAGTCTCGGTCCACGGGCCAGCCTCAGCGGGCGAGCCGCCCACCTCTGTAACCGGCGTGAGTAGAAGGGCTTGTTTGGGGTGGACTCTGAGGCCGTGCAGTGCGTCGATCGGCAGAGAGGAAGGGAATCCAGAGGGCCGTTCAGGGACAGTTGCATTCGAGGGCTGCTTTCCTTTCTGCTCACACAGAGCTGCTTGGTGCTGGCGGTAGCCGGTGGCTAGAAGGAGCCCAGGAGCGAGAGGTTACAGTGCTGTGGAGGGAGCAGCGCAGGCAGCATGCGGGAGCCTTGCCCAGTGCTTGAACCTGCAGCTCCACGGAGAGCCCCCTCTGCCCATACGTGGCGCATGGCGTCCGGCCTCAGCCCAAGCCCTAGGGGCCGATGAGTTGCTGCTGGAGCAGCTTGTCTGTCTGCCCTCATGGAATCCTAGAAATGGAAGGGACCTCGCAAGGCCGTCAAATCCCCTCGCCTGCGCTAAGCCAGGACCAAGTCACCCTAGACCAAGGGTTTGTCCAGCCTGTCCGTAAAACCTCCAATGACGGGGATTCCACCACCTCCCTGGGAAGCCAGTTCCCGAGCTGAACTGCCCTGGGAGGTAGAAAGTTTTTCCTGATCTCTAATCTAAATCTCCCTGGCTGCAGATTAAGCCCATTGCTTCCTGTCCTACCTTCCTGGACATGGAGAACAATCGATCGCTGTCCTCTTTCTAACAGCCCTTAACATATCTGAACGCTGGTATCCGGTTCCCCCTCAGTCATCTTCTCTGAAGACTAAACATGCCCAGTTTTTTAACCTTTCCTCGCAGGCCAGGTTTTCTAAACCTTTTATCGTTTTTGTTGCTCTCCTCTGGACTCTCTCCTGTTTGCCCAGAAATCCATGGGGGTGACCAGCTCTATACGGTGTATACGCACAGCTGCACCTCTCCCTGCGCTCTACTGATGTGGAGATCAAACCCCAGCACCAGTCGTCATGTCTCTCTCATTTAGTGGTGTTCTAAGACTGCCCAGTTGAGATTGTACAGCACCCAGCACGGGGGTGGGGGGGGGCAGAGTTAGTCTCTGCACGGAAGAGCTTACTATATAAAAAGACAAAGAAGGGAGGGGAAGGAAGTACTTTTACCCCCATGTAACAGGGGAAACTGAGGCACAGAGCGATAAAGTGACTTGCCCAGCATCACACAGGGAGTCTGTTGGCACTATCTGGAACTGAGCCCAGAGCTCCAGAGTCCCAAGCCCCTCTCCCCCACCCATCTAACAGAGAGGCCTGGCTAACCGAAAGGTTAAGGAACTGGGAATAGAAGCCAGGAATCCCGGCTTCCACTGCTCTGCCCCAACCACTAGGCTGCATCGCCCCCAGTGTGACCCACTGCTGTGATAGCCTTGCGACCTTGGCAATGATCTTCCTTTGTCTCCCTGGCAGGCTCTGGACCCCTGCCCCCTGCCGCAGGCCATGCCTGTCTCTAGCATTGTCTCAGCACTGCCCAGCACTGGCGGGGAGATGACATCACCTTGTACCAGGCGGCCAGCTGGCACGTTCTCTCCTGCACCGGCTGCTGCTTCAAAAGCTGCATCCGCTTCTCTCGCCCCCTCCAGCCCCCTGCTGCACAGAGCCCAGGTAATACGTCCAGTAAAACATCACCAGCCGTGGGCCGTATCCTCAGCGGCTGTAAATCAGTGCAGCTCCATCAAAGTCACCGGGACAGTGCTGACTTACTCCAACTGGGGATTTGGCCCAGTAACCCAAATGCTTTAGAGAGAGGCAATTTAAGTGGGCGTCGCCAATCCAGGAACCAGTGCTAGGAATTCCCTGGTCAGCTTAACAACCAAAGCACGGGCCTTTTGTAAACGGAAACCCACTGGCCTGGCCATCTGTGGCTCCCATTGATACCTCTAGCAGGACAAGTGTTAGCCCCAGCGCTCGGGGCAGCGGCGTATTATCGCCTAGGCCAACAAGGCCTAGGCCTAGGGTGGCAAATTTGCTCTTGCCCCCTCCCCAACTCCGCCCCTTCCCCAAATCCCCGGACCGCCTCCTCCCCCAGGCGCGCCGCGCTTCCCTCCTTCCACCTCCCTCCCAGGCTTGCCGCGCTGGGAGGGAGGGAGAAGCGAGTTGCAGGGCGCTCGGAGGAGGTGGAGCAGAGGTGAGCTAGGGCCCGCGGGCGCGGGGAGTAACGGGGGGCTTGGAACCGCTTCCCGGCCCGCCCCAGCTCACCTCTGCTCCACCACCGCCACCATCCCCCGAGTGCGCCGCAACTCCCCTTCTCCCCCCTCCCTCCCCGGCTTGCTGCGGGGGAGCGGAGGTGAGCTGGCGAGGGGGCGGGGGGGCGGCAATTTTTTGACGGCCTAGGGACGGCAAATTTGTTAATCTGCCCCTGGCTCGGGGTAACTGCGTCCTCCCCCTGCAGGCCCCTGGACACTGTACCCCTGAAGCCGTGTGCTGTTGAGTAGCTGCCGCGTGTCGGGAGCGATCCCTGCTCGCCTGCGAAGAGTACCGGGCTCTGGGGAAGGAAGGTGCTCTGGGAAGGTTGGGCTGTATTACCACGTGCAAAGCACGACCACACATAGGTTGAGAAGCGCTTTGAGATCTGCGGCTGGTGGAACGTGCTATGTAAGAACACGGGATTGATACTAACCATTGCCCAACCCTCTTGTAATACGTGGTTCGCCCCGCAGGTGTCACCATGGCAGAGCTCTTAAAACAGTGCTTCTCAAACTACTGTCCTGGTGACCCCTTTCACATTGCAGTGTGACCCCCTTATACATTAAAAACACTTTTGAATGTATTTTAACACCATTCTAAATGCTGGAGGCAAAGCAGGGTTTGGGGTGGAGGCTGACCGCTTGCGACCCCCCTGCGGGGTCCCGACCCCCGGTTTGAGAACCCCTGCTTTCAAGAGAGGAGGCTGAGCTGATGCTATGGTCAGCGCTGAATGACTCCAAGTGGCTGCCAGACTGGAAGGTTTAAGGAGATGCTTATGGGGGCGAGAAGCGTGCACCTGCCTTAACCTCGAGAGGGTCCTTGCGGGCGCCCTATGTAACTTTCCCTGCAGATTGATGGACATCTTTTCTCCCACCCCTTAGACTGAGCAGCAGCATCTGCGGGGCCTTGGCTACACTAGGGATCCAGCCCACCCTGCGCAGCCTTCACCCCTGGCCCAGTCTCTGGCTCTCTCTCAGCTTCTTGGTCCGGACTCTGGGCTCTGTCCAGCCCGTCAGCAGATGCAGGGAGCGGAGGAGATATGGAAAGGCCAAGAGCTGCAGCCTCCTTTGATCCTGATGGGGGCAAACAAAGGCGCTGTTCCAGGCTCCATTAACTCTGGGGGCCGGTTTCTTGGTGGCTGCGTTGCAGGTGAGTTGGGGACAGCACAGGCCTTGCGTTGCTGGTGTTGGCTTGGGAATTGCATGACAGCAACAGACGCACGGGGGGAGTGGGGTGAGGGGAGGGAGATTTCCTGGGGGCGCCTAGGAGGAGAGGTGCCTCACACTCCTCTCTCACCATGACTCCCACAAAGTGTAACACTCCCACCCCCGTGGGCTAGGCAGGGTCTCAGGAAGGGGTGGGAGTGTTACACTTTGTGGGGTGGAGCAATGGGTAGACAGAGGAGAGCAGGTCTGTGTGGGGAGCTGGGATGAGACACGTCCCCTGCACAGGACGACAGCGAGAAGCTGGGGCTGGGCCCGGGCCCGGCTGGTGTGCAGTGGTGGGAAGTATCCTAGCAAAGCAGGACAGGCCAGAGAGCTCAGCCAAGTACTTCGCTGGCTGTTCCGACAGCAGGCAGAACTCCTCTGCTGGGGATGTAACCTGAGCTCCCGAGGCTCTCGGAGATCACAGGTTCAAATCCCAGCCGGGCTGCTGCCGCTGTTCCTCCTCCTGAGAGATACAAATGGTATTGCCCGTCATTTCCCCGCTGTGCATGTGCGGCCACCGTGTCTGCAGCGCAGAGAGCCCTTGGCATGTCGTGGAGTAAGTTTTTACCCTGCTGCTCTTGTCCAAAACTTTCCTGGTCTGGTGCATGGTGCTGGTCAGTTGCTGCCCTCCTCCCCAGAAGCAGTCGCATTTCTTGTGCTGTCTGTAGCTTTGGGGTGCTAGCTAGCCCTGTTACTATTCTGAACCTGCTGTAAATGCAGGTTGGTGGTTTACAGCCTGTCTCCCCTTATCCCCAAATGGTGCCGCCCTCAGGCCCTGGTGTGCTGCTCTGAAGCTGTGAGGAAGGGTAATGTGTGCCATGGAGGAAGCGGGTTTAACGTGCCAGGATTTCCCTCTGGTGCATGGGGCAAAGGGGAGGCTGTTGATTGCATAGCAAGCTGGCAGGGGGTTGTCCCCTGGGCACTCCTTACATGGCCATTCTCACATTGGGTGACTTCCATTTCCTAGGTGCTGTGAGGGGCCCGCTGCCCAGCGCAGAACAGAGGCTCCCGTCCCAGCTGGCAGGAGGCGATGAGACCCGACAGCCGGTACCAGACTTTCTGGGCTTCCCCCCTCCCCTCCCCTTAGCGTTTCTGGTGGACTTGCCCTGTACCCCAGTGTGCACGCCCAGAGCCCCGCTCATCCTACAGGCTGTGCAAGAGCCTGCTAGTTCTGGGGCCTGAGGTTTAGGGGGTGAGAGGGAGCCTCCTTCCCAGCCAGCCCAGGGGAGTGAGAAGCTGGGAACTGGCTGGGAGTCAGTCCTAGGGCTCCTGTCTGCCAGTGCAGAATGCTAACCTCGAATCCAGGCCCGTCCCTGGGCCAGCCCCACTCAGCCTAACCCTGTACTGGCTCCTGCTACAGCGCTTCCCCGTGGGCCTGGCAAGAGAGGCTGCTGGGGTGTGGAGCAGAGGCATTGTGATGACAGTGTAGACCTGCAGCTACAGAAGAGCCCCTACCATGCCTGAAGGATCCCAAACCCCTTCGCTGCTTCCCGCCGGAGGGCAGGAGGAAGAGGAAGCAGAAACGTCAGGCATCTGATCCAACCCCCCACCATTCCAAAGCCCTGGGCATCGCCTGCAGCCTTGGTGTGTGATGTTCCTCTCAGCTTGGAGAGCCCTGTCCTTTCGCAGTTCTCTCCTTGGTTTGTACCTGGGGGCCAGCTGTAAAGTCTGTCCCTAGTCTACTTACTGAGTCTCTGCTTTGTGTCTCCACAGCTTGCCCTCCCCAGCAGCCTCCATCCTCCTCATTAGCAGCGCACGTGGCTGCCCCAGTGCTCCCGGGGGCTGGAGCGTGGGTCTCAGAAGGCAGTTTGCCAGCTCAGCTATGGGGGCTGCTCTCAGCTCCCCAGGCGAACGCCGCCTGCTTCATCGTGAAAGCTGAAGGACAGCCCGTGAGTGGGGAGGCTAAGGTCACTGTTCACCTCGGCTGGCCAATGACTTTGTGCTGCCCTGGGTAGGGCTAACGACGTCCAGCCCTGACCTCACTGGCTCCCAGCTATGCAGGAGTGCTCTGGTTAGTGATACGGTATCGCCGCCAGCAAGCAAATCCAGAGCGTCTGGCCCAAGGAGGGGTGTGTCCAAGGGCTAGTGTGAGAAGGCTGCTGTGAAGAGTCCAACAGCCCTGCTGGTCCTGGGAATCTGTGGCCACCCTTGGAGCATCAGCCCCAGGGCATCAGAATTCTAACTGGTGCGGCTCTTGCCTTGTGAAACGGAGACTGGCTGGGTGCACGCCCGGGGCCCTGGAGCTGGGGTGTGTGAAAGCAGGTCAGTGTATGACCCAGTAAGGTCTAAGCGGCCCCTGAACCTTTGTACGTGGACAGCACTGCCCCGGGCAGGGGCCTTGGCTCCCCATTTCAGGTCCCCTAAGGTAGGACTGACTCGCACTGGGTGAGAGAGGCCTCCTAGGCTTTGGAACTCTGTCCCATCGCAGCTTCCCTGTGACTGCCCTGTAGGAAAGACAGGCCCGACTGGGTCCTGTCTCTAACCCATTGCTTGACCTGTCATCACGGGCTGGGAGAGCCAGTTCCTGTTCCCCAAGAGCCTTGCAGCAGGGGCTGGCAGGCAGTGCAAACAGAGACCCAGCAGCCAGGCAGCTCGTAAGCACCTGCTTAAACTTTAGCATGTGCACTTTCCCCAGGCACGGCTTTGCTTGCACTGCTGCTGGAGTTCTCCTGAAAAACACAACCCCCAAAGCCCTTAGTTCCTGCCTTCTCTCTCTCAGGCTGGGAGCCCTCAGCCCAGACAAGGGGCTGCTGTGTTCTAGTGAAGCAGGAGAAAGTTACTCTTGGCGTGGAAGTTTGGACCACAAATGTTTATTAAGCATAACCCTTCCCCCCACCCCAAGCCCTATGTATTTCTATATATTAATTTAAATCATTTGGCAGGGTTTTTTTTTTTTAAGGAAAAAAACAAGTACCTGGTGGGTTGAAATTCCCCCTTAAAATGACATTAGCAAATGCACATGTAAAAAATATAAATAAGCTCATACATTCAAGTATATGGCAATTACATCACGCTTCCACAAGCTGATTGGTCAGATTCCAGTTTGTGGCCAGGCCAAGCCCCCAGCTGGTCATGTTGTCTTAACAGCAGGAGCCTGGCGGGGTAGCCCCTCCTACCGAATACAATACAGGGAGCGATGGCCCCGCTGAACTGGTCCTCGCACTGGTTGATCCATCCAGCAGTACTGAGGGTGAATTCTACCTGCTCACACGGAGGACATCTACACACGTTAGCACACTGGTGCCTCTCCCGAGCATCCGTTCAGTTGGGCTAAGTGGCACCTGGCTGAATTTCTTGCTGCTCCTGAGAGCGACGGGGAGATGAGCAGTAGCTGGAAGGCCCACTGAGGACCGGCACAGCTTGTAATCTAGCCCTGCCAGGCCCACCTGCCGCAGCAGTGCTAAGTGGCACCTCGGTACAGCAAACCTGGGGGGGGGCAGCTAGCCCCATTCTGTGTGAGGGCTCAGGGCTTTTGGGGGAGGAGGAGCATTGTTTTTCAGCCTATTTGAAAGTGACAAGTCCCCACCAAAGTCAGCACCTTCCCTGTGTGCTCCTGTCACTTTAAAGAGCTACTGTGCCTAGCCCACACCATGCCTGCCAGGCTGGAGGCCTCTAGCTCCTACTGCAAGAGAAAGGAGGAGTGTTATTAAGCCCCTTAGGTGTGGGCAGTGCTCTAAGCTAGATTCACACTGGACAGACTAACAGCGTTCCTCTAAAAACACGTGGCAGCTGTATTCCTAGGGTAGTGAACGGGGCCAGAGTGACAGCCCTGGGGCGTGAGGTTCCAGCTTCACAACACGCAGCAAAACAAGTTTTAGCCCCTGCTGCTTTGCTTCCACCTGAACCCGATGGGGCCTCCATGGGGTTCACTGCCAGCAAGGCCAGTTGTGAGGCAAACACCCAGGAGCTCTTTGATACAGGCCAACAGCTGTCAGGGGCTAGTGCCAAGTATACCGGGCCCCTCTTCGTTCATGGTCACAGGTTCCACTCCAGAGTTCCCCGCTCCCCTGTAACAGCACAGCCAGCATGGCACCGGAGACAGGTATGGGCAACCTCCGTGCTGCTGCTGCGTTTGCAGAGGAGGCGTCGCCATGAGCGGGGGCAGCCCCACGTGTGCACAGCACCTGAACTGGGCTTGCTTGGCACTGCGGGGCAGGACCCCAGCTCCAATGGCTCCCACTGTCACCTTGGCAGGCTGGTGAAGACAGCGCCAAATGGCTCCTGGCCAGACCCGGGAGGAGTCCAAAGAAGAGAGGCACCCCGTTAGCCCACGTGTGGCAGAAATAAAATACATTACGGCACGTAGGACCACGGTCGCTGCAGCCAGGGCTCAGGGTTACACTAACTGCTGGCTGCCTTCAGCTTCTCCACGGTTGCACCCCCTGCCTCCGGACGCCCCTTCCTCACAGAGCTCGGCAGGGGGGTGCAGACGCTCCCAGGCACCGCTGGCAGGGGGGCTGCAGCAGCCAGTTCACCAGTTGTCTGTCTACGTCCCTGGCACTCTGGGCCCAGCCCCCAGCTGTGCCTTCTAGCTTTGCTCAGCTGTACAACAGTCATTGGTTGCCTATAAAAAGCCATAAAGAAAAACTGTCCCCAGCTTGTGAACCTGCCCAGCCCCTACTCCAAGGAAAGATAAACCCCAAAAGTGGCAGGAAACACCCCCCTCCCCCTCTATACCCACCCCCTTCACTGGGCAGGGCTGCTCCTCCCCGGGAACGTCTGCCACGGAGCAGCTGGGCTCAGTTTTTCAACAGACGACACTTTCCTCAAAGCAAACCCCCAATTCTTAGCTGGAGCTAGGTCTCTGCTGCTGCTCCTCCTCCTGGGCTGAAGCCAGATCCACCCTCTGCTCGTCCATACGCTTGGCCTGGACGCGCTGGATGAGGCTGAAGAAGTCTTCGTCAGGCATGGTGGGGCCACGGGGGACGGCATCCGGCGGAGCGCAGCGCTGGTCGTCTATCCGGGATGACTGGCACGGCCGAGGGGAGGGGAGGAGAAACAGGTGTTAGAAACGGTTCCCGCCCGAGCGCAGGGGATTCCGCGACCGCTGGCTGGGGAGACAGCGAGCGCCCTGCAGCTGGCGGGAGCCCAAAGGGGTTGTCATGAGGAGGTGGGCAGAAGAAGCCCACCCTGGAAACAAAGGGAGCCAGGAACAGTGGCCCTGAGCCCAGGACTGGGGGGGGGGAAAGAGGGGGGAGGAAGGGGCGTTTCACAGCTGTTAAAAGGCTTTGGAGTGAATCCTGCTTTAATGGGCCAGCCTCTCAGGCCCCCCTCCCTCCCGGTTTGCAGGCATGGACAGGCGTGGGCCCTGTGCCTCGGCCTACCTCACGGCAGGTGTCAATCACAGAGCAGCACAAGACCTTGACTGGCACCTGCTCTTCTGTTCTGGAGGCACAAATCTGGCCCCGCAAAGAGGAGGCTGGGCCCTTTGCTGGTCTTGCCCCATGTTCGTACAGGGCTGCCGACTGTTCGGGATGGGCCCTAGGAGCGGCAGGAAAGCTGGCGCTGGCCCTGGCCGAGCAGAGTCTCAGCCCCTCGGGTGGGTGCAGAAGAGCAAACTGCCTACCTGGCACTTCATGAGCATGTTGAAGAACTCGTCCCCTGGCTCCTGGGCATCCCCCTCCATGCGCAGGTGCCCCAGGTTGTTGTGAGTGATGCGGAGGCCGGGCAGGCTGCCCACGCTGGCACGCTGGTCATCCAGCCGCCTGCTCTGGGAGCTGGCGATGAGATCAAAGAACTCCTCTGTCTGCGGAGATGCTATTAACGAGGACTGAGCTGCAGGGGAACAGGGAGAGCACCAGGGCATCAGGCCAGGGAAGGGGCCTGTGTCACGGCGCTGTTCAGCTCCAGCATGCTGCTCAGTCTCTCATTAACTCGTTCGCCACCCCTCTGAGGTCCGGGAGCCAGGACGCCTGGGTTCTGACGCTGATTTACTCGGTGATCTTGGGTAAGTCACTTCGCCCCTCTGTGCCTCTCAACGCATCCCTCCCTGCCTTTGTAAAGCACTTATGGCCCCCGTAAAGCTCAAAGTGCATCACTATTAACTAGTAAATGATCCCCTTTTAGAGGTGGGTAAGCTGAGGCAGTGAGCGGGCAAGTGACGTGCCCAAGGGCACCCATCTAATCAGTGGCAGAGCCGGGATTAGACCAGGCCTGTGGTCAGCCGCTCTCAGCAGAAAGGTCATTTGAGCTGCCTTTTTTTTGCCCCACTTGATCTCTTAACTACCCCCCACACACACACTAAGAGTAACCTCATTTCCCTGCACTGAATGGGCTCACCTGGCCCACAGGAGGAGAGAAGTGAATTGCAGCCATTTCATCTAATTGCAAAGAAGAACAAATGACCAAGACTTTTCTTTTAGAACAGTGGGTCTGGCCCAGCCAAAGCTGCATGGCCCGTCTGAGCTGCAGGCAATGTGCAGAGCCAGCCAGGGCCCCGTTTCAGACCACACTTTCTGAAATCAGCCAGCTAAAGTGACTGCCACTCCTAGGGAGAGCAGACAGCTGGCGCTGTGAACTTCCCCTCAGCAGTGCCACACAATCCACTCAGGCTGGGTGTGCTGGAGCAAGGAGCGCGCACACTCAGAGCACAATGGCTGGCGGGACCTTGCGTGAGGAAGACACGAAGGCTCAGTTTGCACCCTGAAAGCTGGCCTTGGGAGCAGCACACGCTGTGGCTATCGTTTTCTCTATGGCATTAAAAAACCTTTTAAAAGATCAGAGGGGGTTTATTGCCTGGCTTGACACAACATCAATAAAGTCTAGACGGTATCAGTACCTCCCTGGAACGAGGGCTCTGTGAGTGCACGAACACCGGGCAGCGAAGGGGGAAAGCAGCTGGCTTTAGAGGGTAAACCGCAGAAACTCTGGCTACACATCTCCCCCTGGCTGACAAGGCTGCGTTGAGGGAGCAGGACAGGATATTAATTGCACTTGGACCGTTGATTTGATTAGATTAGGGAAGGGATGCCTCATTGACGTGGCCTTTCAAGAAGGTACCAAATCTTTAGCACTCTCATTGCATTACCAGCCCCCTGCCTGTGAAGCCACACGAGCAAAAACTGCACCTTACTCCGGGGCCATGATGACCCCTGTCCCCATACATCTTCCCCACTGCAGTGCTGGCTAGTACCCAGCACTGGGATTCCCGGGGTCCATCTCTGGCTCTCTTAGCGAAGGCTGTGCTACCCCAGGAGCTTAACTTCTGTGCCTCACTTGACCCCTCCAGCTCAGGAAAGTAATACTTCCCTGCCCCGGTCCGGGGTGTGCCGCATGGCTGACCTGGGTCTGGAGCGCCTGGCACTGCTCGAGTGCTATACAAAGAGTTAGAAACGCAGCATTCCAAGCTCTCAGCCCCCTGCTGCCTCTTGGCTCCCATACGCTGCTGTCGCTACAAGCAGCGAGCTCCCGCTGGGAGCGGCTGGCAAGGAGCGTAGGAGAATGCAGCGGGGAGTGGCTGAGCGGATCAGGGAGCAGAACGTTGACATCAACACGGGCACAGGCGCCCAAGCAGCCTTTTAAGGTCCGACATGAGCGAGTGGTTCTGCCTTTGAGAACTCCTGGGTGGTGGGACCAAACAGACCTGTTCCTGGTTACAACGCGTCCTCGAATTGCCCGTGCTGAGCCCTGGAGCAGCCTCCTCAGTGCAACTGCAGATCCCAAGTCAGTTAATAGGCCATGATTACAGTGAACCACCGAGGAACTTGTCTGAAGAGACATTTTCCGCCTTCCTCATTATTAAGCCTAATTTTAGGATTCAGGGGGCAGAGGCCGGCCCGTTCCAAGTAGGCGGTAGTTACAGAAATTGTGCTTGCAATTGACTCCAAAGTCCCTGGAAACTTGAGTGGCTTTCTGGCTTGCGCTCAGACAGCCTCCTACCAGACGCCCCATGCAATTACAAAGGGTGGGCTATAATTAGAGGCCATGTAATCAGCCAAGTGCAAGCAGAGGTAAGTGATTCATCAGACAGCTCGTCCTTTCCGAGTCCCCCAGACAGCACTCGCCTGTCAGGTCCGGTGCAGATACGGTGTCTGCCGGTGCAATGGCTGCGGACGTTCTGTCCAGCACAAGGCAGTGGGACCTGCGTCAGAGCGCCTGCCTTAGGAAATCACAGTCTGCGCCTGGTTCTTTTCAGCCCTCCCAGAGCCAGCCTGCTCCTCCGACGGCTGTCTGTCCGGGCGTGTGCTTGGGAGCGAGAGCGCAAGCCAAGCTCTCTGCTGAGGTAAACGGGCTCAGTTTCATTGGCTTCAATGGAGTTTTGCCCATTTCCCCCAGTGGAGGATTTGAGCCATGACTTCCCACCACTCTCCTTAGTGCTATGCTCACAAGTGCACACGCTCCCAATGCCACCTAAAGATTCCGGTGCTGCCTCCCAGTGAGAAACGAGACCAGCAGGTACTTGCAACTCCCGCTGCTGGCACAGACAGCCCCCCGAGCCGAGGGGCTCTGCTCTGTCTTGGAGCACACCCGTGGGAAACCCAATGGTCTGTGATGGGATGTTAGATGGGGTGGGATCTGAGTTACCACAGAGAATTCTTTCCTGGGTGCTGGCTGGTGAGTCTTGCCCACATGCTCAGGGTTTAACTGATCGCCATATTTGGGATCAGGAAGGAATTTTCCTCCAGGGCAGATTGGCAGAGGCCCTGGAGGTTTTTCGCCTTCCTCTGCAGCGTGGGGCATGAGTCACTTGCTGGAGGATTCTCTGCACCTTGAGGTCTTTAAACCACGATTTGAGGACTTCAATAACTCAGACATAGGTCAAGGGTTTGTTACAGGAGTGGGTGGGTGAGATTCTGTGGCCTGCGTTGTGCAGGAGGTCGGACTAGATGATCATAATGGTCCCTTCTGTCCTTAAAGTCTATGAAACGGGGTTGGGGGAAGCGAAGGGAAAGGTGCATTGCAAGCTCAGCCAGCGGCTAATGTCCCTACGTGCTGGCTAATGTCCCCACACCTAAGTGCAGACTTGTGCTGCCAATGCCCATCATGCTTGGTATGACCAGGTCTGGATGGCACCACATCTGGCACTGCTAGGAACCTCAGGGAGGAGGTTTTTCAAATGACGGGCATAAGCAAACAGAAGGCACTGCACAACGAAAACATTCAGTCGCAAGCCCTGAAACAACATCCAACAGTCCATGAAAACAGCTAGATGGTTCCTTTTTGCTGCTGGTTAGGAATGAAACATTCCCCTGCAATGTAGAAATCCAAACACGCTGCCGCCGGGTGAGCAAAGGAGACCCAGTAAATAACTCTAAATAGAAAGTAAAACAGGGCATGTAGTTTTACTGTCTAAGCGAGAGTGCAAATTAATTAAACAGCAGTGTGCCCAACTCGCACTTTTATCGAGTGTCTCATGGTATTTGCTGTTGTCCTTAAAGCCTCCTGTTACAGAGGCAGGGGCGGCTCTATGTTTTTTGCTGCCCCAAGCACGGCAGTCAGGCGGCCTTCGGCGGCACGCCTGTGGGGGGTCCGCTGGTCACGCAGATTCGGCGGCGTTTCTGCGGGTGATCTGCCGGTCTTGCGCCTTCGGCGTACCCGCCGCCAAATTGCCGCCGAAGCTGCGGGACCGGCAGACCTCCCGCAGGCATGCCGCCCAAGGCTGCCTGACTGCCGCCCTCACGGAGACCGGCACAGCGCCCCCCGCGGCT